CGCTTTCTTAGCAGAACAGAAAGTGGATTTGACAACCTTATCATCCTGAATTTGATGATATACTGGGAGTTTGATCCTGTTGTTCTTAAAAACAAACAAGAAAACAAATTGTCCATGTGTTGATGTAACTGCACAAGTTTAAACCTGCAAACAGCTGTCTGGAAGGACGTTCGCCGAAGTTATCAATGAATTGAGATGGGGGAGGAGTCAGGTGAAGGGCCGAGTTCATATGTACTCTTTGTATATTTCTGTCTGGTTTGACCTTTGACAACAAATCTGGCTCCCTGTATTGCTGGGGTACACCACCCTTCGTGACCAGGGGCTGGCACCCCTAAATACAACCTCCAACCTGGGAGCGGAAAGTGGTGGGTCAGCACTCCAGCGTCCTGCCCTTTAGGTGGACGATTCGGAGAGGCCCCTCGGGCGTCATGGCAGAATCAAGTCCCCAGAGATGGTCTCTGTGCTGCCCCTCCCAGTGGCTCTTCCTCCACCCTGCCTCATCTCCCTGCTCCGCCACGCCTGCCTCCTGTGGTCTCCTCCCAATTAAACCACGTGCCCTGTGTCAGGGTTTTCTTTCAGATAAACTCAAACTGAGATACCTCTGGCCGTAGAGAGCAGTGTGAGGGGGTGTTGGTTTCCTAGGGCTGCCCTAACAAAGGGCCACAAACTGGGTGGCTTAAACAACAGACTCTTATTGTCTCGAAGTTCTAGAGGCCAGAAATTCCCCTTAGGGTGTAGGCAGGGTTGCTCCCTTCTGAAGGCTACACAAGAGAAGCTGCTCTGTGCCTCTCTCCTAGCTCCTGGCAGGCTCAGGTGTTCTTGGTCTGCAGAGGCATCACTCCAATGTCTGCCTTCTTTTCCCGTGGTGTTGTCTCTGTGCACATTCCCTCTCTCTGTCCAAATTCCCTCTTATAAAGACACAGTCCTACTGAAGTAGAGTGGGGCCACCCAATGGGCCACCATACTTCATTATGACCTCATCTTAGCTAAATTCACCAATTTCCATATAAGGTCACATTCTGAGGAACTGGGGATTAGGACTTAACATATTAATTTGGGGGGGAAGCAATTCAGCCCATAACAGGGGACCCTGCTCTGGCCGGAGGTGGCAGAGTTGGCCGGATGCCCTGTTGGCTGCCTGGCTCTCCTCAAGTATGGAGCCTGGGTTTGGGCGGAAGGCCCGCTTCCTCTGGTAGAAGACTTGCCCATGAGTCCTCTGATGGTTGGAAATACCATGGAGCCTGCTAAGAGGCACGTCCCTAATCTGTGCCATTCAATCCCAGGGAGGCCTAACCTCCCTCGGCCATCGGCTAACATGCCTGTCTACCCAGAGGTCTGTTAGCACGCGGTGTCCTGTTTGTGTGTTTCCATTTGATGGGGTTCCTCTGAGGCAGGCCCAGTGTTTGTTCCTTCTCTGAGGCTGGGGACTCAGTCAGGTTGGTCGAGTCAGATGGTCCCTGATTCACTGATGATGTCTGCTTGTGCCCTCGCGGTCCCTCCTCCAAACCTCCTTTCTCCCATCCCTCCTCCCCTGTCCGCCGCCTCAGGGTGTGTCTGCACTTTCACTTCTCCAGTTCTATGCAGCCCAAGGGAGGGCCCGCACCACACCTAGAGCTGATCAGGGACATGCAGACAGACAGACCGTAAGGAAAACCCAATAACTAAAGGGCGCACAAGAGCAAACAGCATTTCACAGCAGGTGATTTGTTTTTTTTTTTTTGGGGGGGGGAGGGGAATAAAGGATTTCAAATCATCCATTTTAACAAATATAATCAGGCTCATAAAATTTATTAAATAAATACAACAAATGATAAAAAGCATATGTTTAAATTCCATATGAGGCCCAGAATATCTGAAAGAGGAAGCTGGTGTGTGGGGCAGGGAAGGGAGGTGAAGATGGAAGGCGTGGAAAGAGAGTTGGGGAAAACCAGAGACAGAAAGATGTGCAAAAGGAGGCCTAAGACGGTTTTAGATTTTAGGAGGAAAAGCAACGTTAGAAGGACTTTCTGATTCCACCTGGCCGTGGACATCAAGCATGCTGTCAGCTTCCCTGGAGAGTCCGAGAAACCACTGCTCATGGCTCAGAGCCCTGTTTGGACTCAACTAGGAACTGGGGCTCCCTGAAGGGTGAGTTATTACTCCGTGCTTCATGCTGACTCACGCCTTCTGAAGACCAGCTGAGAGCTGGGGCCAGCCCCCTGGCCACCACGTCCACTCGTGCCATAGGGGCTGTTTCTACACCAGGTCTGAGCTAAATTTTAAAAGCCCTAAAATTAATTGTCTATATAAATCAATGTTTACTTCCTAATGAATGTCTTGTCTAAAAAGACTTAAGGCACAGGAATGAAATTAAGAGATTTCATTGAAGAAACAGACGCAGGCTGGAAGTCAAAGTAAGATTTATCCTTGCATCAGAATGTTTTAGATCTTGCAATTTGCATATACAAAGAATTCAGCAACATTCACTGGCATTATAATCAGAGCAAGATCAAATTATAAATGTAATAAAAGAAAATGATAGTTGAAACTGGAATACATACATATATTATAAAGATTGCACATAAATTAAACACAACTTAGTTAAACAAAAGTATCAGTAATCATACATTTAAAAAAATAACATGGGCATGTCTCCAAATGCTGAAACAGAGGTGTCAGGCTCATTTTAAAAAGTTTTTAAAAACACATAAAAATACCTTTTAAAACACTGGTATGCATTCTTCATTCGTATAGCACATGGAGAGAAACAGTAAAGAGAGTCACACGGTGACCGATAAAGCACGTAGATCAGAATGGTTGTCTTCTAATCACTATTTGGCATTTGAATGCAGCTGCATGCAACATGGAAAAACGTGGAAGGAAAAATGACCTTGTCCATGTGGCACTGTTTTGATATGTACAATGGACTTTCTTTGACCGAAGGGGAAGAACAGATCAACTTTCTGGGTTGCACAGACAGGATAGTGAGGCCCCGAGTGCCCAAGGGTACTGTCTGAACTGGGGGGCCTTGGCAGAGGCCATGAGGCTGCAATTTCCAGGCGCCCTGGAAAGGCAAGTGCTGTCCCCAACTAGGGAGGGAGGGACAGTGGCTTCTGCTCTGTTTCCCAAACTGGAGGGGCCGAACCAGGTGCCAGGACACCTGCAGAGGACACCGGGAGAAGGCCAAGGGGGCAGAAGGACACACAAATGGGGCCCTTTCCCAAGGGCCTCCCCGAGAAGGTCTACCTTAATCTGGAGACAAGAGATGCCCGTTAGACCACTAAAGGACATGAAGGATTCTGAGTAAGGTCTCCTAAATTTGGACCCAAATCCATGACCCCGGCTTTAACTTTGAGCCCTCAAATAAATGACTAGCTGCCTTCATCACAACCAGCCGGCTCTGTTTCTGGATTGGTGCAGAACGAAAGCTCAGTTGTCTCTTCTCCTTTGGTCAAAGAAAGGCTTTGGGCTTGGGATTTTAACAATGAAAACAAATGGGACCAACCGGTGCATGTTGCAAAACTCCCTGCATTTTCCTCTTTGACCCAAATGCGTATTCATTGTACCAAGAAGGAGAGAGGGGCGCATCAGCATGAGTGTGCAGCCCAGGGATGCAGCTGGCGGGATGGCAGCGGTCACAAAGTTGTGCTTTGGTCCTTCCAGCTGGGGACCTCGTCTTGCCCTTGGGTGGGGCTCAGAGGAGCGACAGAAGCTTGATGACCTGTGAGCCTATTGTTAGAATGTAGCCTACCCTGGGGTTGCCTTTGTGCACACTAGATACAAACACCAGATAAACAGTGCAATAGGAGGGTGCAATTGGTTATCAGTGGAAATGTCAAATAAGGCCTTTATATCTCTCTTAAAAAGCAAAAAATGTACCAAAAATGCATATATTAAATGCTTTCTGTAAGTAGACCAGATGTCTTCTTTTCTACATTGTGCTCATCTGCTAGGTACCTAATGGCCATAGAAAGATCACTGTTACTAAATTAAACTTTTCTACACTCATCCTTCCCCTTTTTCTTGCCCCATAAGCCAATCCTGTCTGGCAGTGGGATTATTATTATCCAGTGTCAAAGGTCTCAGTAGGATGTCCATTCAAAAATAAGTTAGCCTATAGATTAAGGATTTCTCTTTCTTTTTCTTCTATTAAATATTGAGGGGTGGGACTTTAAAAAAACCTGTATAAATCTAGATTTTAAGATTTCTTTTCTTACAAACAATCTTAGCTTTTACAAGAAATTTTTAAATACCAAAATGCTTCTCAGAAAGTTTAAAGCGGAATTGCTTGTGGCTGCCCCACTGTTTCTACCCAAGCGTGTGCTTCTTGCTTCTGTGCCGGTCAGACGTTTGGCTTTATCTGAATGTTTGGAATGGGAAGTGGTTTTGTGTCGAGCCTCTAGGCAAAGCCCAAGCCCAGCAAGGGCAGCTGTGACAGAATGAAAGGGGAGAGTGAGAAATACAGTTGGTTTGATTCTCAGAGGCTTATCTGAGTCAAACAGATGGACAGATGGACAGGAAGTGGTGTTGTGGGAGCACAGCTCCGACAGCTGGTTTTGCTATACTCAAGGCCATGGGCGAACTGGGCCACCAGCACTGACATCTCATCAGCCAAGATGGCACAGACACAGCCTTGAATAAATGCATGTTGAAGTATCACCATATAGTCACCCACTACTCTCATGTGTTTTAGACCCGGATTCAGGTTGTAAAGTCCTTGATCTTCAAAATGTAAAGATAAACCACAGGAGTTGAGACTGAGGACTTTACAAAGTTCCCTGTTTACATTGCATCTTCATGAACAGTTTGCCTGCAAAAATGCTGCCGCTCAGGGCTGTAAAATCAGTGTTAGAAAAGTGAATTTTCAACTGATTTCTGAGTCTTCGACTGCTTTCTTGACAATGAACTTTGTTTAGAATTTTGCATAAGCACACGTGGCATATTAAGATTTATAACATTTAGAGGTGCTGAATGTGTGAAATTAAATGATATGAATCCAATGAAAATTAAAATATGTAGCAATATTAGCGGAAATATATATTTTATGGGATAGTATTTGACTTTAATACATGATTCCAGTTTTTAAAGGGGGTATTTAAGATTTAATAACTTTATAGCAGGTGGTCTTTAAAGCATAACAAAATATGTACAAAGAAATTAGGAAGGATATTAATGTCAACTATGAAATAAATTAACATGATTTTTACAAAATATACTGACCATTAAATTAAAAAATATTTTAAGGCAGAAATTTTCATTTGAAATTAGCATAATCAGAAAATATATCAATAAAATCTTGTACCACTTTGTAGCAGAATTCATACTGTTCCTGAAAAAGAAAACCAAGAATATATTAAAATGATGTTTAAAAAAATCTGTTTCACTTAACTGGGAGAAACATTAAAAAAAGACATAAAAGAGTCTGACTGGTTATTAAAATACTGTATATTCTTCTACATAGCAGCTTCTGTTACATAATTCAGCTTTCAGGCACATGAACACTTCCAAATAAAGCTGTTTTCCTATCTAGAAAATAATGTTTAGTTTCAGCTTAGCTATTTCTAGAACAGTTTGAGTAAAAGGTCTTTACTTTTCATATTTAAACTGGAAAACAACTATTTTTGAATTGAAGACACCCAGGCAGCTTCCCAGTGAGGGGGTGCAGAGAGACACTGCAGTCAGAAAGAGTAGAGCCGAGATGGGAGGGCCTTGGATGCTAGATGCCCTTGAAGACAGAATATATTGGCCAGATCAGGAGAATTTATGAGAGGCAGGAGTCCTTAGAACACCAAGGAAGTGTCTATATGCTGAGTCAGACAAGAGATGCTCTTTGCTACAGTTGCTGGGAGTCTGGAGGCCAGGCACTCATGGGGTCTCTGAGGTACTCAAAGCAAATTTGCACACCAACTCTAAAGGCAGGTGCTGTAACCCCGTTTTCCACAGATAGGAATTGAAGTCCAGAAAGTGGAAGGAGCTTGTCCAAGTTCACAGAACCACGAGCGGGTCCAGCTGTGAAGTGGGACGACGGCCCGAAGCCTGAGCATCACAGGGACCCACGGCTTATCTTTTATACTTAACCTCTGGCCAGGCAGGACTAAAGCCATTCCCTCTGCCTGGGGGAAGCCTGTAGTGAACTCAAAAACCATCAGGAAAGAAACTGAAAGAGTCTGGCTCATAATTAAAAACAGAATTTCTTTTTGAGGGAGTTCCTGTTTTTATTAATGATTATTATTTTGATCTAGAAAATCTCCTGTGGAGTAGTCTGCCTCTGTTTTTTTCCACACTCAAAGTCATTTTAGTTCGAGACACCCCTAGGAGGTATCAGCTATCATGATGCAGGCATAGCCTTTAGGAGGCATCAATGGACTTCTCTAGCATCTTCCCCAAGCCCTAGCAAGACTGTCTGCACTGGGGCCCAGGCTCTAAGGAGAGTTCCCACTGCTTTCAGCTCTCCTGGTTTCCATCACAATCACAGCCCACAGAGGGGCCGGTGGGGAGAGGGGTCTGGGGGAGCCACCAACCACCCAGTTTCCTTCCAGCCTGGCGGCTCTCAAATCCATATTCACTTTGGGACTACCTGGGGGGCTTTACGTATGCTGATGCCTGGGTCCCACCCCCAGAGATTCTGCTTAATTGGTCTGAGGGGCAGCTTTCGCAACTGGAGGAATGTGAGCGCTCTCCAGGCCAGTGGAGCGTGTGGTCAGGTGAGAACCTCACTCTTGCCCAGCCTGGGAATGGAGGGTGAACCCCGCTCTGCTCAGGCAATTCTGTCTAGCCATCCTGCTTCCCCAACGACAGGAAGGTCATGAAGGGCCCTCCTTTCACCTTCTACGCCTGCTTGAGTCAGGATCGAGTTAGCATGGAGAATGAGCAGGCCAGGAGGGCAAGTCCTAAAATAGGAAACCTTGGGGAAAATGACGAGTTATAACAGCCTTTAGAATTGCACTTGCTGGTGTAGAACAATTACCAAGTATGGTGAGGAGGCTTCTCTTCCGAAAACCAGAAAGTGTGCGTTTTCACCACGGAATGAAAGAGAATGTCTGGGCCAACTGTACGTTACGTGGATTCCTTAAGCCCCCTGGACAGTATCTTGTGGTTGACTGAGACCCAGTCAAGGATGGAATAGTGTAAGGTAGGAAATTACAAGCTCCAGGATTGTAAACATCAGTGCTGCTTTTGAACCTGGTGATAGCACATTTTTTTTGGTGAGGAAGATTAACTCTGAGCTAACATTTCTTACCAATCTTCCTCTCTTTGCTGAGGAAGATTGGCCCTGGGCTAACATCCGTGCCCATGTTCCTCTACTTTATATGTGGGACGCTGCCGCATCATGGCTTGACAAGCAGTGCATAGGTCTGTGCCGGGGATCTGAACCTGCGAATCCCGGGCCGCCAAGGCAGAGCGCACAAATTTAACTACCTCGCCACCAGGCTGGCCCCAACACAGCATGTTTTTTACATGTATATCAGAATCTGGTAGAAGAGTTCACTTTGACAGAGCAGTTGGTGTCATCAGTGCCTCTGTCCAAGGTGAGCCCCTTCTCCTGTGTCCTGCCCAGCCAGACTCAAGGAAGGAAGGGGTCTGTAAAGCTTTACTGTGAAAAGTTCCAGTTAGCTCTTTTCCTTGGGAATTTTACCTTCTTCCCTTCCCATATATTTGAGCTCCTTTAATGAAACATACATCAAATTCAATGAGACAATTCTCGACTCTTCTGGAAACATCCTTATCACTCAGTTTCTTACCAGGGTTTGCACCATATGTGGCCTCTGAAGTCGTAAACTCTTCACAGCTTGGAATACGTCTAAAAGTCCCTCAGCTTTTACTCGTTCCAGAATGTTGCTGAGTGCTATGAATGTACCTGTTCGCCCAGCTCCAGCACTGTGGAGAAAAAGTGCTTAATGTGGATAACCAAACTCGCCCGTGGGGATGTGAAACAGACAGCCTACCCCAATCCCAACACATCACTCCTGAAGCAGCCATCACTGAAAATGATCGGAGTCTGGATTTTTAATGATCATTATATGTAGCTTAGCTTTTGACCAAGACTCAGCAAACATAAAATTCCTACAACACTTGCCTAATTACAGTAGACAGATATCTCACGAGTGGATCAGGAACAGTTACAAGTTTTTAAACTGCTGTAACCATTTCCCTTCTTCCCGCATAGACCGGTGGTTCTCAGAGTGTGGTCCCTGGACCAGCAGCATCCGCATCACCTGGCAGCTTGTTAGAAATGCAGACTATCCCGGCTCAGGTCTAGAGAGAGGTAATCCTGGCCTGGACTCTCCTTGCTGTGCCAGGGTCGGCCTCCTGAGATGTTTAGACAGAAGACGTTCACTGCCAGGAATGGTCAGATAATGGACACTTCCTAGCAATGAAGATCTGAGTCTTCTTCATTTAAGAAGGTCATTTGCTTGATAAATTGGATAAACCCCACAAGAGCAGACCCTCTTAGGAGAGCCCAAGGGAGCAGGCCTAACAGAGGCGAGCTTGGCAGGTCTCTTCCAGACAGCCCTCTGGAGATGCACGGCTGCCCTCTGGGCCCCAGAATCCCTCGCATGGGCTGCAATGACCTGTCCCTACGTCTGTCTTCCCACAGGTGGGAAGCCCTTGTGGGGGTCTCATTCACCTTGGCATCCTTGGTGCCCAACACATGCTAAACTCAGTGTGGGTTTGTGAGGGCAGAACACAAGGAACTCATTTCCAGTTTATTCTAAACGACGTCTACAAAGGAACCAGGGACTGAAAACCCAAGGCGTGTGCTCCACCTGCTGGCCAGGCTGGAAGTGCGCCCAGGCGGGTCCCAAGCAAGGCAGGAGTCCCAACCTGCCACGTTAAGCTGGCTCTGTTGGCTACAAGGGGTGGGTGAGGTGGGCAAATGACAGTCACAAAAATGGGAGCCACACGTGTGAAAAAGAAACAGGAGTGCAGCTTTTGAAGCAAATTAGCACCCTCCAAGAATAAAAACACCCCGAACTCCCGTGAGGAAGAGCTTTGCCAGCCAGGGGGCCTGGCCAGCAGGGGCCTGGCATAGCCAGAACTACGTGGGCACAGAAGGAAGATGAGCTGGTGTGTCTTTAGATTTGGCCAGATTCACCCTCTACCCTAGTAACACTGCCCATCAAAGTCCTTGTTGGGGTACCCAGCTGTCTCCAGATGTGCCCCGGGCATGTCCCTCCACCCTGGGGCCTGACTTGGGAGCCAGGCTGAGAGGCTTCTGGACGGCACGGGGCTGTGGGCTGGCCGTTAGCGAGCCTGGCCTGGACATTCTCAAGCAACTCAAGAAAACCCTCCTGCCAGGCTGACGTTCAGCGGCACCCACTCCTTTCCCCACACCCAAGGAGAGGACGGGGAGGGGTGGGCACTTCTGCCAGAGCCAGAACAGTCTTTCAAAACGAAGACAAGCAACTTGAAGTGCAGGAGTGGGCTTTTTTTGGATGACTTAAAAAGCACAAAGAAATGTGTGTTTGAATCATTTCCTAACTCCTCCTCCAAAAATGCACTCTGCATGTATGATAAGATGACATTTATGCATTTATCTAAAGTTATGTGTGTAAGAAAAGGTAAAACATTCAGTCCAGGGAAACGAAGCTACCGGGACCGGTGAACTGCGTGTGGGGTCTGCGTCTGCCCACCAGGAGGGGGCGCCCGACCGGGCGGCTCACCTGCAGTGCACGGTGATGGGGTGGTTGCCTGTCTGCTGCTGCTGCTTCTGCACGGCCGCGATGAGGTCGATCATGCCCTTGCCCTCGGCCGGAATCCCGATCTCGGGCCAGCCGTGGAAGTGGAACTGTCGCACCACTCGGGTCTGCTCCTCCTGCCGGGCCAGGGGCTGCTGGGAGGCGGAGGGCGTCTCAGCATTGCCTGGTCACCCCCTCACCCCACCACCAGGAACAGGCCTCAGGCCCAGCCACCCTCCCAGGGACTCCAGCCAAGGCTTGGAGCCCCCCCAGGCTTTCGGTGGCCGGCAGAGTCCCCATCTGGCCGGCCTGAGGGTCCTGGTCAGGTTGTTTGTAGGCTGTGGTCACCCTAAAGCAGAAGGCTAGCAGTGTGTCCCTCTGAGTGGGGAGCAAGATATCTAGAGGCCGTCCCCTGGAGCCCCCAACAGGGCCTGCCAGACCCCTTTACGTGATTTTTGGCAGCTTTGCCTGAGAGAACGGGACCACCTCTTTCTTAAGAAGCTGGGACCCCACATGTCCCCTCAAGCCTTGAGATGAGCCATTTCTGAGTCTGGAGGCCCTGGATGTTCCGGGACTGGCATGGAGGAGAACAAGTCTTTGGGTCAGCGGGTTTTCTGCTGTGCTGACCATCTTGAGCCCAAAACCAAGTCCCATAGGTGAGTCACCTTACCCATGGTTGACCCACAGAGTTCCCATTCTTTGCCAAAGAGCAGAACCTAGGACCCAGTGGGGATGGGGGTTGGTTGGAGGCTCTGAAAAGGCCCCGGAGAGGCCCCAGTGACTTTATCCATTCTTTTTATTCCTCCTGCCCCCGGCCGTCATCATTTCCCCTGAGTGGGGAGTGCGTGGCAGTGGGACATCTCTGGAGCTAGCCACTCTGCCCCACCATCCTCGGGCTCCAGCAAGGAGGCAGGTGACCGTAGAGGTCTGAATTTTATAGGAGATCTGCCACTTGATAATGCGGCTCCCTGTTCACCACGCTGACCACTGATACTAATGTGCGCTCCGGAAAAGGCTGAAGGAGCAGGAAATCCTGGTACAATGACAAGCAGACCCCAAGTGATGGCTGCAGTGCGTTCTGTCGACAACAGTTGAAAGACAACGATACCTGACTGAAAGTGACCAGGAAGTCTCGCACGCTGATGGCTTCTGAAAGGGTATCGCTCTTGATCTCGATCGTTATTTCTCCGTGAGTCACCGAGCCCTCCGTTGGCCAGTACTGGTAGCATTTATCCTTGGGGGATAAAATAAAATTTTCAGTCTCGTAATAAATAATTTTTTGCCAGCAGTTTTGATAATATGATGCAGAATTGCTCTCAAACTATTTAATGTATTTTGTCTTACCAAGAAAACAGCATATTAATATGAATATAAATGTCTATTAATGCCTGTTGACCAAGGGAACAGAACAGAGAGTCCAGAAACAGAGCTGGAAAAACTGGTTTTCCATGTGGGAAAAACGAAACTGGACCCCTACCTCACACTCTACCAGGGTTAATATGAATGCCCCAGCCCCTCCTGGAGTTGGGCAGTGTACAACCTGCACTACCATATGTGGTAGCCTCTTGAACCTTAATAAAAATAAACTCGGACAGGTTAAGACTTAACGTAAAAAACAAAACTGTGAAAGCCTTAGAAGAAAGGACAGAAGGATTTAGTAAACAAAACCCCAAAAGAGCTAACCAACCATGACACAAAATATTGCAATGACAGATTACAATAAAATTAACTTCACTTCATCAAAAAACATCATTAAGAGAGTGAAGACAGGCCATCAACTGTGGCAAAATATTTGTAATATATAAAACCAACAGAGGATTAGTATCAAGAATATGTAAAAAAGCCCTATAAATCAATAAGAAAAGGGCAAAAAAAACCCCACTAGAAAAATAGTGAGAGGCAAGAACAGCACTTTGCACAGAGGAAACATGAATATATGAAGTGATGCTCAACCTCATAGGAGTCAGAGAGATGCAAATCAAAGCCACAAAGAGATGATGTTAATATCTATTCAGTCAACAGAGATGAGGACGCCTGACATACTAGGTATGTCGATGAACGATCTCTCCTACATTGCCAGTGTCCACTTTGGAAACCACACCCACTCTGGGAAGCAATTAGGAGCTATCTTGCAAATTCAGACTTTCACACACTCTCCAATGTGGCATTTTGTCTCTTCATACTATTCCTTGTGCAGCATGAGACAGGTACAAGAATGTACCGTCAGCACTGCTTGTAAAACAACAGAATGGAATCAACCCAAATGCCCATGACAGGAGAAGGGATAAGTAAACGGATGCAGGACGTATAGTGCGTGTAGTGGAACATAATGAAATAATGATGAATGAACCACAGCTATAGGCATCAACATAGAAAAATATCAAAAGCATAATTTTGAGTGGAAAAAGCAAGTCCCAGAAGAATACATATTGTAATGGTACCCTTTATAAGAAGTTCAAAAGCAAGCAAAACTGAACATGAGTTTCTTTAGGCATAGATTATATGATAGAAAAAGATTTTTAAAAAAGCAAAGAACACATCCACTAGGATGGCTTTAATCAAAAAGACACTAATAAATGTTGGCAAGGATGTGGAGACATTGGAACCCTTGTCCATTGCTGGTGAGAATGTAAAATGAGCCAGCTGCTTTGGAAAGCAGTCTGGCAGTTCCTCAAAATGTTAAACGATATGAGTTTGCAGTGTAGAGTTATGATATGGCCCAGCAATTCTACCCCGAGGTATCTACCCAAGAAAAATGAAAACATACATCTGTGCAAAAACTTGAACACGAATATTCATAACATTATTCATAATAGCTCAGAGTAGAAACAAATCAAATGTCCATCAACTGATGAATGGATACAGAAAACGTGGTCTATCCCTACTATGAAATATCATTTGTCAATAGAAAAGAATGAAGAACTTATTCCTGCTACAATATGGTTGAACTTTGACAACATTACGTTAAGTGAAAGAACTCAACCACAAAAGACATGTTGTTCTTCCATTTATATGAAATGTCCAGAAAAGGTTAATCTATAGAGTCAGAAAGTAGACTAGTGGTTGCAGGGGCTAGGGGGAAGGAGAAAAGGGGGATGATTATTCATGGGTATGGGGTTTCTTTTTGGGGTGATGAAAATGATCTAAAATTAGTGGTGATGTTGCACAATTCTATGAATATACCAAGAACCACTGAATTGTACCCTTTAATAAGATGAATTGTATGGTATGTGAATTATATCTCAATAAAGCTGTTTTAAAAAAATGCAAAGAAATCAAAACACCAACTGAGGGTAGTGCTTACATCTTACGGGAACACCTAGATAGACGTACATTTTTGGTAAAAGGTTGGTTTTTCAGTTGGATGGTGGGTTCACGAGGGCTTATTATGTTATTAAATAAATACAAGAAGGACATGGATGGATCTCTGGAAAAAGGGAAACCTTAAACTCACTCAATTCAACCAGGACAATATCAACTAGGTACACATATCAATGCCTATGTCTTTATGTCTTGAAAAAAGTGAATAAATGGCTTTTTCTTCAGCAGGTTGTGATCAAATTTGTATATGTGGCAAATACAAAATGGCTGAATCTCCAGGCAGGTTAAATAAAATGAAGGTTAAGCACAAAAGCCAATGGGTGGTAACGGTTAACCAAGAAAAGAAAGGATGGGTGAAATGGAACCTTTGTCATTTCCAGCCTCTCTCCCTCCTCAGTAGTACGGCCTGGCCTCACCAAGGACAGCAGGAAGGGGTACAGTCATGTCATGTTGGTGGACGTCAGTGTGCGCACATGGCCCCGGAGGGCCCCGGGCTGGGCGGCGCCCCTGACCTGCTCTCTCTCCTGGACCTCCGTCAGCATCACGATCGTGTGGCACTTCCACTCCCACACCATCCTCCAGAAGTCCTCCACCGTGTGCGCCAGGGGCCCCTGGGTGGCGATGAAATAGTCCTTCTGTCGGTAGCCCTTCAAATGGGGAGCAGAGATTAAAGCCTGACTTCTTCCATCCCGGTTCCACTACAGGACACGTGAGTTTAGCACAGCCTGAGGCAGATGAGGGAAGATGTTCTCCAGGCTTCCATGGCCCGAGCCAAGCCCCAGCTGGCACATGCACACGCGCACACACTCAGGAAACAGGTCAATATGCTCACTTGATCTCACCTTTGGCACCTGAGCCATCTCTGAATGGGTATCCTGTGGCCACCTGAGAAAGCTCCTGGTGGCTTTGATTCTAACTTGTTCCTATGTGTTTCAGCTAAGTTAGCTCCCTGGTGCTGCAGAGAGCCCTGGGCTGGAGTTAGAGGAAGTGGGTTCAAATCCCAGTTCCTCCACTTGGGCCCAAGTGACCTCTGGCACAGTTTCCTCATCTGCAAACAGAATTCTAACACAGACTCGGCTGCATGCTCTTTCCGACCTATCCTTCAGCTAACTCCGCCGTGCACCGAGACAGCCCGTGACTGCGTGCCCTGAACACAGAATCGCACCGTCCTCGCAATACGTGTTACAGAAATCACATCAGAGAAAGCACCAAGATATAACCGGTGCATAACAGAGACGTAAAAGAAAAACCACTATATATTAAAAGCAGAATGGAAAAAACAGCAAATTACTTAGCAACGGGTCTATATCCTCTATTTCCAAAGTTCATTACTCATTTCTTTTTAAGCACGTAATTCTGGTAATGAAATAGTTTGGATTTCTGGAGGCGTGTCAATCCTTTCCGATTGTGAAAACGAGTTAATCATTAGAGTCTGTGTGACACAGATGAAGGACACACGTCCTCGCAAAGCGCAGCGGGGTCCATACTCACATCTATGAAGGAGGCGTTGATGTAGTCTGTGTACTCTTGACCCCTTTTCATGGAGAGGATCACGCGGTTGAAGTCATCTGTGAAGCAGCACGTTCCTTTAGTCAGTGCAAACTATCCCGCCTCGCAAACCTGAATCTGTCGCTACAAGCTCCCAAAAGATAAAACCTAATAAAATCACTAAGTAAAGTCAACTCTTTCGACGGTTTACTTTATAAGATAGGTTAATTCAAGGCTTCCAGGGCAGTTGTGTTTTGTTAGAAAGACTCTGAAAACACTCCAGTTATCGTTTTCATTTGTCATGAACTGGGGTAATTCATACCAAAATATAAGCATTAAAAATACTGCACTTAAGGAGTAAAAGGAGTGTGGCAGGGCTGGCAACCTGGAGTAGCCGGCCCAGGACATCACAGCCACAAAAAAACCTGGGTCTGAAGCGGAGGAAGGCTTCGCTCAGCCTGTGCGCAGCGTGACCCCTAATGCAAGTCTATTTAGGATCGTGCTCCTGTCATGAGCTGAGAGTCCACCCAGGAATCTGGAATGAGGCACTCCCTCCTCTCCTCAAGGCAGGTGCCCTCCTCCTTCCTTCCGTGTTCCTCGGACGTTCCGCTCCACTCCTCCATGGCCCTGCCAGGCTGGCCAGCCCTCCCTCACCCAAGATCTGGGGCAGGCCAGTGTCCCGACTCCACCCCTGCCTGTTTCTTGCTTGTCCCAGGGCCCTTTCCTGGAAGATCTCAGCTGAGTTCGTTTCAGGCCCTACTGCATGCCCTGGGCTGACTCCTCTTCTGTGTAAAGAGGATGCCATGTCTCGCTCAGGCTTGGGGGAGGATTGAATGAGAGGTGGAATCAGGCGGCCCCAAGTCATGCCTGATGCCACTCTCTCCGCTTCCAGGAAGTCCTCCCTCTCCCCCTCTAAGCCCATGTCACAAACTGCCCGCCTGACACACACAGGACTGTCTGGGTCAGTTGTTGCTTCACAGGCGGGCGTTGTCTTCCCAACACCGGACAGAGCCCCCAGGAGCCCCCAGTCTGGGCCCAGAAGGTGCCCTGCCCTTGATGCCCGGTTTACAGTGATGGGTGGTTAATGAACTCTCAGCGACTAAGCCACAGGGCACCAGCCCTGATCCTGCCCTGCCTCGGGGGTTCAACTCTGCGACCCGGTGCCTTACACGGGATGATCTGGATGACTCTGGCCTTCTTCATGTTGGCTGGCAAGTTGCCTGTCCTCATGTTCTCCTTCATGATCCGGACGTTTGTCAGTTTCTGCAGTCAAGAAGGATGCAGTCACGCAGTGAAAACGCTGACCCTCCAGAGCAAATTGCTCACCCTCCTAACAGTGCAGCTGTCAGGGCACCTGTTACAAGGAGGCATCTGTCTCCACCTCCAGACATCTCCCGAATCTTGGGAAATAAAAATGCATGCACAGCACATTTTTCTGCAGGGGCTGCTGCTAAGCTCTGAAAGCCCCCAATCGCTCTTCCCTCCAAAGTCACAGGCTGGGAGAGCTCCCCTGCTTCTGCCGGGGCCAATCAAGAGGGGAGCGACTGAAAGCAGCTTCCTTTCAAGGGTCGCCTGTCTCCCGTTAGAGCCAGTCGGCACTTACCCTGAACTCCTCCTCCAGCCCGATCTTGTCGAAGTGGGTGGCCGTGCCGTGCAGCGTCTGCAGGTGCTTCTCCAGGGAGGACACGTCCAGCTCGGTGTCCCCGTAGAGGTAGTACTCCAGTAAGGCTTGGTAAATGAAGGTGTACTGCATCTGCGGGGGACCAGTGGAGCCGAGAGAGGGAGGTTTGGGGAAAAGCCAGATGAATGGCCATTATAACGACCACTTGTGGCCTAGAGTCAGGATAACCTAACAGCTGGCATTACTGAGGACGCTCTCCCCTGCAAGCACCTGGGGGAGGGTCGCATGTGTCCTGGGGTGGCGGAGGCGTCTGGGTTTGCTTTGGGAAGCTCAGACCGGGACGAGAGGCTGGGCCAGGGGAAGCGGTACTCACATCCGTTTGAACCATCTGAGGGCGCTGATTGCGGATCCTTGACACAAACTCGAAGACGTCCACCTTCTGCTCGGCGTGCATCATGTCCATCATGGCATCGATCACTATGAAGGTGCCCGTCCGGCCCACGCCCGCGCTGTGGGGAAAGAAAAAGATGCCCTGTCATGAGTCACTTTCCCTCCAAAGTAAACGACAGGGCCTCAGAACATGCCGGGACACCAGGACAGAAGGGCACGCCGGCCCTTAATTGGGAGACTTAACCTCATCACTTAACTGCAAACTTTCCTTGGTTAATAAAGAACAAATCTAGGGTGAGGCCACCAGAGGGCGCTACAATCTTAGTAAAATGATTTCAAATTGTTCCTCTAAGAACTATAGAAACTCTGTTAAAAGGCATAGCAACAACAGCCGGAGTGTTCAACAGCAGAGGCTGAGATTCACGGCCATGGAGGGGGCCAAGGATGAAAAAGGATCAATGGCCAACGCGCTGCCCTGGTCACCATGGTCAGGAGCGGGTGGGCAGGAGGAGCGACAGTGGCCATTCAAGATTTCACATGCACCGCAGATGTGGAGAGGTCAGAACAGAACTGAACCCGCTCCCCGCAGCCCCCGGCCTGCACAGAGGCCGCCTCTGATCCTGCCATCCAGAGCTGAGCCGGCTGCCCACGGCAGGGGCCCGAGGCAGGGCTGTAAGGGACTTGTGAAGCCGAAAGTAACTGAACACGCAGCTCCCCTGCCAGCGACTCCTCCAGCTGAGGACAATTCCGACCTTCTGCCCTGACACACTACTGAGGAACGTCCCCACCGTCTTGGCTACAGCCAAGGGGTCTCTGAGGGCTCTCACGGAAATGCCTGTGCAGGGACTTGGGCCCGCCGGGCCCTCCCACCTAGAGTAGCTCCCGCCTCATGAGGGAGGGCCTGCTCACTGGGGTGTCACTTTGATCAGACACTGAGTTCCCAGCTGTACAGACAGCTTCGTTCTGAGTACCTTGGCACTGCCAGGGACAAAAGACACCTGCCCAGTGATACAGGTGCTCCAAGTCTGCCACACAGGTGTTCAGCAGAAGCAACATGGACACTCTGGCTTTCACGCAGTCTGAGCAAGAACACGAGCCGCCAGCAAGACTTGGCTGGGGACAAACGGCTGGACCTCGCCCCACCCGCTCCACTGCAGTGCTGGGGGGAGACCACAGGGCCCGGGAACTGCAATCTTACAGACCCTGTCACCTCACTTCATGCATAGTTGTCCAAAGTCCCTCAGCTCCCAAGGGGCAAAGCCAGGATCCCATCCATGGGCAGGATGCCAGGGGCCTCCCCTTTGACCCCCAAACCTCCCTGCCTCAGCAGTGAGGGACACAGCAGAAGCCACTCAGGAAAAGTATCTGGGCTGGGGGTGGAGAAAGGCCCCAGCCAGCGTCTTCGGGTTCTGACTGTGCATCTACAGGAGGAGGGGGAGTTCGGCAAGGGAAGCCCCCTCGTCTCTGTGTCTTTGTCTTAAAAAACAAAACATGCACAAGCCAGTCAACCAACCCGAAGTCCAAGGCCTTTGCACATACACGATTTTCTGCAGAAGCCAAACTGGGCATTTAGACACGAGCCACAGAGGTGGTTACTGTGCCTGCCCTTCTCTATGGCTCAGAGAGCCGGGAGCAAAGAAATCTCAAAGTGAAAACAACCAGAGGACACCAGGGCGTGCAAAGGCAGGGGGAGACACGTTCTGGAAAAAGCGACTGTTTTCAGAACCTGCTGTTCCACAGCCTAAGGAACAGTCACAGCGGCAGCCGCTTCCATCGCTGCAGTTCCTCGTACGGAGGAAAGCCCACCCCCAGGTGCGGGTCCCCAGGCCCCCCGAGGCTGTCCTTCCCATTACCGACGAGGAAACCCGGGCTGGGAGAGATGAAGTGGTGGCCAGCAGGGGGCAGCCTGGACGCAGACCCGGGTCCCCAGGTCACCCAGCTCGGGATGGCTCTGCTAAGGCTGCTCTATTCACTGTGCCCAGGGCGGGCCCCCAGCCCCTCTTGTATAAAGACTTGAGGGGCTCCCTGTGGAAGCATGGTGTCTATCTCTGTTCCCAGAAGTGACCTGGAGGTCCCCGGGGGCGGTGGAGGGGAGGCCAGGTGGACCTGCCCAGAGCCCCACCCCCACCATCCACCTGGGCCTCTCGGCCTCTTTAGATATTAGGGTTCCCCTCAGATGCCATTGAAGAAAGGGCTCTGCTCCCACAGAATGGGCTGCATGTCCCTCCAGCTCTCACCCTGAGGGATTCTCTGAGCTGCCACCTAGTAACTACAGGCTGGTGTGCACAGTGGGCGGGGGTGCTGCCACATCACCCGTGTCTGCCCCTCTGCACACCCCGACATATCGGTCCACGGGTCGTTTTCCCATGACGGGCCGAGTCCTCCCTGGAGGGCCCCGCCCTGCGGCCCCAGCCCAGACGTACCTACAGTGGACCACCACGGGCCCGGCGTGCGCAGGGTTGAGTGTCTTCACTTTTTTCAGGAACTTCAGCATCCCGATGGGGGTGAAAGGCACTCCGAAGTCGGGCCAGCTGGTGAAGTGCAGCTGGGAGACGAGCCGCGGGGCTTTGCAGCCGTCTGGGAGCTGCTTCGGGGACATGGGGAGACGTGAGTGAGGTGGGACACTCCTCCTGCCACATCGCGTCCTGAGGATGGTTGCTCAGGGTCCCCCTCCGCCATCCAGGCTGTGGGCAGTCGTGGGTATGCGTGCGGGGAGGGGCCTGTCCTGATGGCAGGATGCCCTGGGCCGGACACAGCACCACGGCTGCGTGCACGGACAGCAGAGCAGGGCTCACTGGCGCCTGTCCCAGGACCAGGCCAGGCAGGTTCCGGGCAGCCAGGCAGATCCTTAAAGCCGGCCCTAGGGCTCGCGGACCCCACTGGTAAGCAAGGTGGCCACGTCCCAGTTTGCCTCGACCGTCCCACTTCATGCCTGTGGTCCTGCCTAATTACCAACAGCATACCCTTTCACTCCCAAAAGTGTCTTAATCTCAGGGGAAAAGATGATGTGGTTGGCCTACATGTAGGAGACCCCTACCCCACCCCAGACCTTCCGTCAAAGCCTCTGTCAACTTTCATAACCCAGAGCCCGTGAGTTTAGTTCTCCACCCCAGACCATGGAAGGTTATACAGTGTATTTGGAAGGGTGTGTGTGTGTGTGTCTGGGAGGGAGGCAAGCAGGGGAGAGTGAGACTGATCAAGTTCATCCTCTTCTCTTTTTTGCTGTGGCTTCTGGGAACCTCAGACTCATATTCTGTGATCTAATGACGCCCATCACTCTACCTTTGATTCCTGATAACATGAAATTCTGTTTTTTCCATTTTTTTTTTTTATCTCTTAAATCTCTATTTCCTCTGCCTTGTATACCGGCATCTTTATTTATTGAAGACTGCTTGAAATCCTTTTGGAGGGGGGAACTAGCGGGAAATAAGTGTGAAAAATAATGAGGAGGCTACAGATATAACTTTGAAACTGTTAAAATAAATCCCACATCACCATCCCAGTGTGTGAAATAATGCTGTGCTACTGAGTGGGGACCCCTAACCCCCATGCCCCTCCTACTGACTCAAATTCCTCCCCCCAGAAAGGTCACGGGGAGCCAGGAGCGTCCAGCACTGTCCAGAGACTCACGTGCACCTGTGTCTGGTCCGCCTCTGTAGACTCACATCCTCGGCCCACTAATGCTGCTCCTGCCCCCGTATGGCACGCCCTGCAGCCTCAGCTCCCACTCAGAGGGAGCTGCTGCAGTGCTGGGGGGCAGAGCTCCTCACATTATAAATGTAGACGTGTATTTGCTCTCCAAGAACTGCCTTTCCAGAAAGTCAATAACTTAAAGCGCTTACCGACTGTATGCAGAACTTCCGGATGGTGTAGTCCACCAGAACCACGCAGTCCTCCACACACACTCGGATGTTCCCGTAGGTCCAGCAGCCCTGGTCCGGCCAGTACTGGTAGCACTTCTCCTGCACGGAATAATTGAACAGAAACAATAGGTCTGGGGTGCCTTTCATCGACTCATCACCCCATCCCCGCCATCGACAAGGCCTCACACACACCAGGTTCGAGTCAAACAGTTCTCGGAGGCGGGTGAGTGTGTTTTCCATCTTACAAATGGGGAGACTGAGGCCACACAACTGGTTAAGGGCAGCCCTGAGACTGTAGCTAGGACCATCTCTGATTTCAACAGCAACGGTGTCTCAGTCATTCATCATTCACTAACCCCACATATTTATTGAACCGTGTTGCTGAGCCGGCTCCCTTGAGAGCCGGGAACCTGATTAAAGTGGCCCTCGGGCTGGGGCGGGGCTCACCAAAGCCCCCCCCCCCAGGACTGTGTGTCCCCAAACCCTTCCCATTGGATTCAGCTGGCTGGTTTTCCTGCCCAGCTCACTAAGGACAAACTTATTTTGCATCACTCCAGTCCACTGTCGGAGAGTAATGAACCTGTGTCAACTTAACGCTCCTCCTTTTCCCCCACAAGGACGATGCTGATGCAGGAAGCTGCAGAGGTCGGGCGCACTGTTACCAAGGGGCAGATCCTTTACCTCCCTCCCAATGGCCCCAACACACGGTGGGGACTGGGCACTGCCCCACCTAACCCAGAGTCAATCCTCCCACGTCCCCTGCCCCTACCCCTGAGCACGGAGTACGTGAATGCACCCGGACCACTGAGGGGGGAGAAGACCAGCTCCAGGTGCCCCAGGAGAGTCCCTGGGAGTCAGCAAGCCCTCCAGACGTCTGACAGTTCATCCGGGAAACTGCCCTGAGTGGCAGAGCTAATGGGTTAGTCACAGGATTAATAATCACAAAACAAAAGGCAGCTTGGTATTTACCAGAGCCCAGCATTTGTGTTACGACACCCCCAGGACAACTTCCCCTCCTATAACGGGGCTCTGAGTGTCTCTGAAGCACCCGGGGGAGAAGCAAACCCCTAAAGATCCTGGTTTGGGCCAGTCTTGGCCTCCTGAGGACCCTTGAGACCCCCCCGAGATTCCCTCCTTGAAAGACCCTCCCGAGACTCCCGCCTTGAAAGACCCTCCCTCAGGGCCGAGGGCTGTTTCTGAGGCCCCCACAGGGCCCGGTGTTCGTGGACGTCTTCATGCCCTCGGCCTCCTCGTCCACACAGCAGACGCTGTCCCCTCCCTCCATGTCAGATCATGAGATGCCGGAGCAGCTGCATTTCACAACCTTTGGCAGGATGTTGAAGCCAGGGCGACCACAACAGAAGTGCAAGCAATTAAGAAAAAGGGAACTCTATTGAGAAATGATTTCATCTGAAATGGTGAAAAATCCAGATCCAGAATCAGGCCAGCTCTGAGTCACAGAAATGGAAAAATCCCGTAGGAGGCTTCGGAGACAGATCAGAAAGAAAATGTCACATAACGTGGCAACAGGCTGACTGAAGGGGAAGATGGGGGCGTTCTGGGCCCACTGCTGCGACTTCTGCCCTGGTCTCATGTTTGTCAACAAGATCCCCTGGGGGCCAGTCCCAGGGGGCTGCCAGTCCCAGGGGACCCTCGGCCACCGGTGAGGCATCTGTCTGCCCTTCTGGCGCTGGGTCCTGCTGCAGTATCTGCTTCGTGCGGGGGGGCATCCTCCGCAGCCCCTCCAGCAAAGGAAGGGTTAAGTGTCCCTGCCCGGAATCCCCTGCCCCCTGCTGTCACTCTTTCCAGTGAGAGAGGATGGCCAGGGCAGGGTCACACAGAGAAGGGTGGCCTTCCCCCAGCCCTGTCCCCACTCCCTGGAAAACAAAACAAAAACCTCCCTCCCATCCCCGATCGGAAACGGTGGTTGGAGGCCTTTTCCTGTGCTTTTCAGCGTGGAACAAATTAGTGAAGGTGGCACCGGGGGACGAGGGCCCTTCATGGCCTGCCCTGACTGCCTGTGGTCCCGGCCTCCCACTTCGCAACCCTGCTGAGCTCCCACGGCCTGTTACTTCCCCTGCCCTCAAAGGGCAGCCCCTCCCTGGAACCCTAGCCAAGCCGCCTGGGCTTCCCCTGGGACAGGCCAGTGTGTCCCACGCCAGTGAGTGACAACGAGGGACAGAGGCCAAGACCAGCACCTCTGCTGCCTGGCCTGGTGCCAGGCACTGGTGGGCCCGGGGGAGGGACCAGCAGGACAGACATCTCCCACCAGGCTGGGCCTTCTTCTAGGCCTGCTTGCCACCTGCTTTGCTCTGGCCCTCGTGCTAGAACACGGAAGAACAGTCTCCCCACCTCCAGCAAGTCTCCCTCCAGCTCCCAATTCTTTCATTCTAGAGAGTGAGCTCACTTCCTAAAACACAGGCCCCTGCTTACTGCTAGAAAACCCTTCGAGGGTCCCCGACTGCCCCTGCCCCCACCTCAGCCAGCATTGGAGCCCCACATCTCCTCTCGATGATGCACTTCTAGTAGTTCTGTCCCTGGTGCGGGCATCCTGGGTCGGGGCCCCAGATTACTCATGGCCTCACAGACACATCGCGCTGCCCTGATGTTCTCTCTGGCTGCGTTTGGTGAAATTCCTTCTGGTCTTTAAGACCCAACACCACCATCACCCCCTAAATGAGTATTCCTGCCCCTGACCCCCTCCAAGGGGACTGCTCCCACCCCTGGGCTCCCTCCTCCACGCCTTCTGGAACCGTAATCACGCTGTGTTCTGGTTTATTCCTTAGGGCTCTGTGTCCCTTCAGCTAAAAAGTGAATGACCTGAAGGCACGGAAATGCCTCTGCATCTCTGCACCCGGAGCTGAGCCCTGCGCCAGGCACACACCAGGCCTTAGCCCCGCACCCTCTGGGTGGCTCACCCCTCCCCGACCACCACTGGCCCCGTTACTCTCCATTGTTTTACGTCTCCTCCTGACACAGTCCACATTCATCTGCTTTCTGTGCAGTGCCTGCCCCTCACGGTGCACTACAAATCTCAGGAAGGGGGGTCTGCCTGCTGGTTTACCGCATACACCCCCCCCCGGGGCAGTGCCCGTCCGGGAGAGCAGATGCTAATGAGTATCGGTCACATTTAGAAAATGAATCCGCTTAACTTGCTTCTTTATAGAGGTTTCAAGTTCTTATAATGTGCAAACATTTCTTTCTGAATCAGAAACAGCTAATTAACTAAAGTGGGATGACAAAGCAACATTCTTTCAACACACCTTGTTTTTCAACTGTTTTTCTTGAGTCTGGATAGTAAGCAAGAAATCATTTTTACTTATAGTGTGAGGCCCCCCATGTCATAGGCCCAACATATACTAAAAATCTAAATTCTGAAATCCGCAGCTCCCACCATGGAGGTGGAGCTGCCAGGCAGGCTGGGGATGGTCCCTGGCTGGAAAGAGAAGGCTCCTGCATCATTTTTATGTCACGGTCTGGAACAGTGAGACACTTGTAACACAGAGCATTTATTTCACGATAAAAATGCTGTGAGCTCCTGAGGGCTTGTTTCTCCTTCTGCAGAGACAAGAAGGGACAGAAAGAGGAAAAGGAAGTGGTAAGCACGCCCCCAGCTAAGCAACAGCGGCCGACAGGAAAGGCCCCGGTGAGTCAGGGCCGGGCTCACCTCTTTCCTTTCTTTCAGGTTTGTCAACATGACGATGGTCGCCGACTTCTGCTCCCAGATCATTCTCCAGAAGTCATTAACTGTTTCCTGTTTCGGGCCTGTAAGCAGAGGACGGTCCCAAAGTCAGACACGAGAAAGTCACTGCGGGTTCCAGCCCCTGTCACTCTGGCCTTCGGGCGGCGGGACGGCTGCCCCCCAACCTCTCTGAGACACCCAAGGGCTGGCTGGTCTCATTCACCCCACACAGAATTCCAGAATCAGGAGGGCTAGGGGGGACCAGTAGGTCGCCAGCCTCCCCATCCCCTCCTGCCACACCCGGCTACCCCGCTGCAGCTGGGAAATCCTCTGCAGATAAAGAACTGGACCCAGTCGGGTGATTACATTCACAGGCTATACAGGGCTCTTCAGAGGGGAGCTGGGTCTAGAGCTGTGTGTCAGAGTGGTCTGTGGGCACTCTGGGGCTTGTTAAAACCTCAGAATACCACCCCACGCCAGAACTGCTGAATCCGAATGGACATGTGTGAGAGAGACAGACAGACAGACAGATGCTGACTGCAGGCTGACTGCCTCACCCTCCATGTCTAACCCCCTTCCCTCTGTAAACGTCTCGTCTCTCAGCCACCGTTGTAGATAGTGAGAATTCGGTGCTGTCCAGTGAGATGTGGGCTGAAGTCCCTGGGGAGGGGATCTGAATAAAGATAAAGTGGCCCTGGAAGAAAGTCCTTTGCCCTTTGCCCTCCTTCCTGCCTGAATACAGACACAGTGCCTGGAGGTGCAGCAGCCATTTTGTGACCCTGAGGATGACAGCAACAGGCTAAGTAGGGTGGAGCAGGAAAATAAAGAGGTCCCTCTCCCTTGAGCTGCTGCCCCAGCCCTGGGCTGCCTTCCTCTGGATGTCTGCTTACGAGAGAGAAAAAGACGCTTCTATTTGTGTCAGCTAATGTTTGCCAGGTTTTCTGATATTTACAGTTAATTCCTGATGTACTGGGTGTACCTGTATGTGCATCTCCCTATCTCTCAGGGAATCTGCACTTTTAACAAGCTCCCAGCTGACTTTGATGTACACTGAATTTTGGGACCCATTGCTCTAGAGACTTGCCTAAGAGTGAGGAAGTCTGGGAAACCTAGTTTTAGCTCCACCGACGCCTGAGTGCCCCGGCACCAGGTCCTGGGGATGACAACTTCTGGGTGATGGACGATATGCTGGATTGAAGGTACTCAAAAATACAAGGGGATTACATGCTAAGGGCGTGCTTTCATGGCTAGAGGATCCTCATGGTTACGGCCTTGATCTGAAAGGCTACTCACTACCGGCGCCCCTGCCCTGATCCTAAAAAAAACCAACAACTCGGGAGCCACGAGGAGCTCAGCAGCTGAGAGAGATTCAAGGTTATCTAATGCAAGTATCAACACGCTGAAATGGCAATCCCTGGACCACTGGGTGCCCTGAGTGTGAATCATGCAGGTGTGGAAATACATATGTGACTGTTGTCTGTCTGCATGTATACATTGTGTGCACGCACATCTAACATGTCTGTTACACCCACACTTGCATATGAGAGACGCCCCACATGCTCCATGTCTGTCTGCCGGGACCACAGTGGGGGACACATGCTCGCAGGGGTTCCAGCTCTTCTGCTCTTTTGAAGCTTCATCATCTCACACTATACTGCTTCCCAGACTCTGACGTGCAAAATGACCTGGGAGTGCTTGCTAAAATGCGAATTCTGATACGACAGGTCTGGGGTGGGGCCTGAGCCCCTGCATTCCTAACCAGCTCCAGGAGGCACGACACCCCGGGTCAACGGAGCCCCCTCTCACGAGGCCCTGTGCGAGTCACGACATCTCTGCATTCCGTGCGCTTCAGGGAAGTCTGATGGACCGTGAGCAGGCTATGCGAATGTAGCAGGACACACAGACAAAAGCATACCTAAATCCTCAGCATCGTGGGTATCAGATAAGGAAACAACAGCCATCATGTCATTTTACCAAAACCATGTTCTGAAAGTAACTTAGTAACAAGCTTACCTTGAGCTGCTATGAATTTATTCTTCTCTTTGTAACCCTATAAAAATAAAATCAGACATAATTTTTCAGAATCACCTTTGCTGAAAGGATTTTTTTTTTGGTGTTGTTAAAAATGTAATACATATTCATCATGGAGAATCTGGAAAACACAGAAAAAAGTAAGACAACTCACTAGTAATTTCAGAAATAACAAATGCTATTTTTGTATACTCCTCTTTAGTCTTTTTTTCTGTGAATACCTTCCCAGACACACACACGAGCACACACACAGACATATATTTTTAATCAGTTAATATGTACAAATTCTTTTAATTCATATTTTTATGATAATTTTATATTAAATGATCTTTTGTGTGTGTGTGAGGAAGATTAGCCATGAGCTAACATCCATTGCCAATCCTCTTCTTTTGGCTGAGGAAGATTGGTCCCGGGCTAACATCTGTGCCCATCTTCCTCTACTTTATATGGGACTCTGCCACAACATGGCTTGACAAGTGGTGTGTAGGTCCGTACCCGGCATGTGAACCTGCATACCCCTGGCCACCGAAGTGGGGGGCATGAACTTAACTGCTACACAACCAGGCCGGCCCCTAAATGATCTTTTCAGGTTCAATTAAAATGAATTAATAATCCCTTGCAAACGGTTTTACCACAATTCATTTAACTGGTCCCTCCTGTTCTATTTTGTCAGTAGTACAAATAATGCTGTAATGAGCATCCTTGGTGCTCAGCCCTGGTTTTTGAAAATGAATCCCCAGATGCAGATGCTAATTCAAAAGGCCTGGATGCTTTCATGCTCTCCATGCTTGTAGCCAAACTGCCCAGGGAGGTGGTGACAACTGACATTCCTGGCCCAAAGAAGAGAGTGCCCACCGGTCATGATTCACACTCAACCCCCAAGTGGTCCAGGCGTGTGCTCCTCGCTAGGTAGGGGACAGGAGGATGGCAGACTTACATCTATGTATGAAGCATTAATATAGTCTGAACAGGAGGTTCCGTCCCCTTGGCTCAAAATCACCCTGGAATGATCATCTGCAAAAACCAAACAAACCCATGATATTAGAGAAGGGAATCCCATCTTCCAGACATTCCTCTCTTCTACAGTCCTAAATGCTACAAAGGACACAACCAGGTCTTCCACGGCCATCACGTGGGCAGAGAGATGTTCCTTTAAACATTCCCACGAGGCCCCTGGTGTCAGAGGGCGGGAACACATCTGTTTTATGGTACTCTGTATTTTGGCATCGAGCACGGGGCCCAGGGGCCCCATAAAACCTTCAGGAGGATGAGAGAGGTGAGAATTTCAGTGTCCAGGAGTGGGGCCTGCTGAATCATCACTAGAAAGAGGGCAGCAGGATGTGCCAGGACCCTACACTGTGGTGACCATGTTCTCTGAACCCCCAATTGGGCCCCAATATTGACAAGTGAAGGGGCACTTAGGGGAACTTCAGGACAGAAGAGCTGGGGTCCACTCTCCCGGGCTGTCCAGGGAGAGGACCCTTAGACCTGGGGACAGATGCACATTTCGGTCCGGGGTCTGGGACCCCATCCTCATCCTTCAGGTCCGCCCTAGAGCTGGACGGTAAGCAGGACTCACACAGGCCTGGACTCCCCACGATGGGCCACCTGCCCGGAAGATTCCGGCCTGTGGTACAAGCAGTTTTCCAGAGTGGAAGGACTGACCAGGAGGTGCTGTGTGTGTGGTTGTGTGAGTGTGTGAATATGGGGTGTGTGTGTGTGTGTGTGTGTAGTGTGGTGTGTGTGTGTATTTATAGTATGTTTGAGTGTGTGTGGTGAGTGTGTTGTGTGAATTTTCTGTGTGTGTGTGAGTGTATGGGTGTGTGTGTGTGTGTAGTATGGTGTATGTGTGTATGTTTATAGTATGTGTGTGTGTGGTGTGAGTGTGTGAATATGGGGTGTGTGTGTGGTGTACGTGTGTGTGTTTATAGTATGTGTGTGTGAGTGTGTTGTGTGAATTTTCTCTGCGTGTGAGTGTATGGTGTGTGTGTGTTTCTGGGGTGTGGTATATGTGTTTGTGTGTTTATAGTGTGTGTGTGTGGTGTGTGAGTGTGTGAATATGGTGTGTGTGTGCATAGTGTGGTGTATGTGTGTGTGTGTTTATAGTATGTGTGAGTGTGTGTGTGAGTTTGTTGTGTGAATTTTCTGTGTGTGTGTGTATGGTGTGTGTGAGGGGTGTGGTGTATGCGTGTGTGTTTACAGTATGTGTGTGTGTGAGTTTGTTGTGTGAATTTTCTCTGTGTGTATGTGTATGGTGTGTTTGGGGGGTGTGGTGTATGAATGTGTGTTTACAGTATGTGTGAGTGTGTGTGGTGTGTGAGTGTGTTGTGTGAATTTCTCTGTGTGTGTGAGTGTATGGGGTGTGTGTGTGTGTTTATAGTCTGTGTGAGTGTGTGTGTGTTTGTTGTGTGAATTTTCTGTGTGTGTGTGTGGTGTGTGTGAGGGGTGTGGTGTATGTATGTGTGTTTATAGTATGTGTGAGTGTGTGTGAGTTTGTTGTGTGAATTTTCTCTGTGTGTGTGTGTATGGTGTGTGTGGGGTGTACGTGTGTGTGTTTACAGTATGTGTGAGTGTGTGTGGTGTGTGAGTGTGTTGTGTGAATCTTCTCTGTGTGTGTGTATGGTGTGTGTATGTGTGTGGGTGTGTGTGCATGCACCCACATGTTGGGGAGGTTTCAGCCAGGGCCCTATTATGACTTTTGTGGGTCCTTGTCACTTCTGCCTTCATGGACCCCTTTTTCCATAAAAAAGTGTTAAGTATTTTATTTTAGGACTGTGTTAGTAGTTAGTATAAAGATGAATGTAATCCAGGCAAGATTAGGCATATATTTTTTTCTGATTTTAAAAGAAAGTAGATGGTTTCATGGGCCCCTGAGAGTGCTGTGGCCTGGCCCCGGTCTCCACGCTGGTGTACGAGTGTCGGCCTCCCCGAGGAGTAGAAACACGGAGGATGGCCCGACTCGGCCCAGGGCCCGGGGACAGCGCTGCTTCCAGAGGTTATTTATGCTGCACTGGGCACAGAGCTTGGGACATGGTGGGTATCTCATATGTGTTTATTGCATTAATTATTGAATAATTTTATGTCCCTGTCACTTCATTGTCCCATCCTAGTCCCCACAGGACTGAACCTAACTGAGGAGGGTGTGGATCCGGGGCAAAGACCCTGGATATCGGCTGTGTCCCATCCACCCGGAAGGCAGCTGGTGACCTCAGACACCTGTTGTCTGGGCATCATACCACTGGGCCGGATCTATCGTGCTGCTAGCAGAGGACGGGCCAGTGCAGCTCGCAGGGACAGTCACGGCCCACGTGGGGCGGTGAGAGTGTCAAACCCCAAACTTACAGCCTGCGCGAACTTAGCCGTGAGACCCTCCTGCCCAGGGCTGACAACCCTGAGGCAGAAATAGCTCTGGCTGAGCACTCATAAAACGAGTTGAAAATAATTTGGAACAATTTACACTTTGAGGACAGCTATGGAAAGCAGAGGGTAAAAAATAGGCTTCTGGTTAGATTTAGAATCTTGCAGATTCTAAGAGCTTCCTGTCTTTTTATTTTAAAAAGTCACACTTCACTTTCAAAACATTATTTCCAAAATTATCAGCTGTTGGTGTTTTTCCAGAAAAGAGGACGGTTTCTCACCACCAGCCATGGAGCCTTTCCATAGTCCAGCCTCTTGGACACACCAGGCATCTTGACTTCTGTCCTCAGGGCTCCCTAGAGCCACATCCATGACTGGGCTCCCGGCCCAGGGGCATCTCATCAACCTGGTAAATTTACAGCCAGCCTCGGCTGGGGAAGATGGGCAGAGGCAGCGGGAAGATGGGCAGATGGGCTGCTGCTGCTGCTGACCCTAACCCCACCCTGAGTAAGAGCAGGCTCCCTCAGCCCTGGAGTAGGGGGAGCAGGCCCCAGAGCCCCCTGCACAATGTCCCGTGATCCAGCCCACTCCCGTCCTGGGCCCACAGTCGGGCCCGGGCGTCTCCGGCCAGCTGCTTGATTTAATCAGACATGCCTCTGTCTCAGCCTGTGTCTTGCTGATGCCAAATGCCAGATGCCACCCAGCTGGCCATCCCCAGGGCACATCCTGAGTGTCTCCATGCTGCCATTCCATTAACCCAATGTCCCACCAGTGTGAAACGCGTCACGGTCCGGCAGAGGGCCCCGTCCCTGATGACCGCTGGCACCCTCCTTTTCCTCTGGAGCCGTGTTCCTGGGCCAGGCTCACCCTGGGGTGGGGGCGGGGAGAATTTATGGGGGAGGTTGGAAAGTCCTGTTCCGTATCCTGGACACGTTCATACTTGGCAGAAAGTATGCTACAGAAATTCTGTAGCACAAGCCAGAGAACACAGCTGGGAGAAGATGTGCTGGAGGCAGGCCCTGCTGTTCCAGGGTGGTGACCCTCGAGGGAGGCGGTGCCCCACCTGGGCCATCAATCTGGGAGGATAGGGGGGTGCAGGTAATTCCCACACCTAGCCATTAATTCCACTCTCACTGAGGTCCCACCGAAAATGCTCTTAATTGACAATGTAAATGTTACCTTTAAAGGTAACAGGTTTAGTGATTAAGAGAGAAACATAGATCAGGAACCCAGGACAGTGCTTGGCGCTGAGTAGGTCCTCAACGCGTACGTTCAGCAGATCAATGCATAAATTAAACTAATAATTAAGCTAATTAATTAAACTAATAATAGATACTAATTTCCAAATATCCCGATTTTCATTTGACACAAATTATTCCAAAGATCCCAAACCTCCCGCCACGGTTTTTCTTTCCTTTGAGCTGCTCGAGCCATGTACCTTGCCTCCCCCACTTCTCTGATAACCCACAGCCGATCAGCAGCAAATCCCCCTGACTTAACCTTCACAGTGTGTCCAGAATCTAACGCTGGTCCAAGCCACCCTCACGCTCAGCTGCATGACCGCAGTAGCCTCTGACCCGTGTCCCTGGCCCTCCCTTCGTGCCTCTACAAATATGTGCTGGATGAAACGTATGTGCTTAATTTCTCTAGTTTTAGTTGGATCAGAGGCTCACAGTGGGCTCTGCAAAACCACGTATAAATCCTATGCATGCAAAATGGGAAAGGATTATTTCTATCGAATGCTGAAAATCCAGAGACCAGAAAACCAGTCAGGTGGTTTTCTCTTACCTATGAGCAGATGGACTCGATTCTAATCCTAACAATGCACGAGAGCCTACCTGCTGAAGCCCGTTGCACAGGAGGACCTGTCCCCCGAGAAGGAGAGGTCCCTGGAAGGCGGAGGCCTCAGGTTTAGGATTCAGACCTGAACTTAGTGGATCCCTTCCAGGCTGCCATTCTGTCAGCCTGACGGGCAAAGCCGACAGGAGGGGTCCAGGCTGGACGAAGGATGTCACAGCCCTCTTGGGCCAGCGTTTACAAGGGCAGCTTGGAACTCGGTGGGTTTGTCTTGGCACAGAGACAGGCTGTGAAAGCTGCCCCCAGGACACGGCCCATCCAGCAACGCCCCAGGACAGATCTGTCTGGTCCCGGGCCTGGCCACCTCCCTGGCCCTGCCACATCCCTGGTCCTGCCAACTCCCTGGCACCCACACTCCCCAGCCCATGGCCACCTCTAGCTGTTGGGGTTAAAATCCGGTTGATTCTAAGCCTTCCCACAAAGTTGCCAAAGCCCTAGAGGTTTCTTATTCTGTCACTTCTGTCCTTGGTCCAGGGGCCTTGCTGCTTGTGGCCAAGAGCACTGAGTCTGAGCGGGGGAGATGCCAAGGCCACCAGCAGCCCTAGATTGGGGCTCAGGTTTGGAACCAATAGGAGGTGCCCTGCCAGCCGGTGCAGGTAGCACCCCAAGTGCCTGGGCAGCCCAGGTCCCACAGTGAACACAGGCTTAGCAGCCAGACCCACGACAACACAGGCTGCCCAAGACGTGCGTTGGAAACAGGTGCCTAGACTCCCAGGGGCACCTGCTGAGCCTCTGTGCTAACACAGGGGCCCCAATCTCTGGGCACGGGAACGTCATGCTGCCCGGACAGGCACTGTTACCGGGAGCTGCAAGGGAATGCCGAGTTTAGTCAAAACACCACTGATCAGGAAAAAAAGGAAAATCTTACTGGGAAGGATGTTGGGATATCTGTTTTTTTCTCTGTTTTCTTCTTTGTTGGCCTGTTCAAAAGTTCCTTGTATGTGTCCAGATGGCAATGACTGAAAGAAAATGCAGAATTAGTACTCAACGTGATAAATCCAAACACTGTGTTTGTGTCAGCTTCCCCACTGAGTGCAGGAACTAAGAAAACACGTCTCTGAGCAAACTACCTCCTGTCCATCACCGTCTCTGCTTGAGATGCTGTGCCAAGCACTGGGCAGAGACGTGAAGGAGAAACAGGGCCACCTTCCCTCAGGGCGCCCTATCTAATGGGGTCAACTAAGGTGTGGACAAAATGATGACTCCATAACTGGACCCAAGGCTGCATGAAGGAAGGGACTGGTCGGTGCATTGCCACCAAATCCCAGGGGCCCAGGGGTCGTGGTCCAGAGCCCCGGCACTCACAAATACGACAGAACTCTGACGGGAGATGGAGAAGCAAGGACACGTGTAGGAGGGGTTGGAAAGGGGTACTGTGACTTTGCACTGGGCTGAAGGACGAGCAGAATGATGGGGGACAGGGGGAAAGGACCTTCATATAGTCCTCCCCTTGCTGAAGACTCCAAGTGCGCTCTGTTGACCAGCAGGACAGGCACAGCTGGGGGCTTGTTGAAAATGCAGACCCTCAGCCCCGCCCCAGATCAGCACAGCATTTACCGGGATCCCGGGGGACCTGCATGCACACTGAGTTTGAGAAGCACCGAAAGGACTGCCTGCTTTGTCTGGGATGAGGAAATTGAGGAGTGAGACCAGGACCCTATAACTGATGCTCGTTACAGTGGGCGTGAGCTCAGGTATCCTGACTTCTGGTTCCTTCCACCACTTGGAGCCCCTCGATTCTTGTTGGCTCCAGCTGTCCTCCTGTGTTTGCTCGCTGCTGGGAGCCCCCTGTGCTCAGGTGAGCTCCCCGCTGCACAGAGTGGGAAAGAGCCTTTTGAACCCCAGATCACATCCTTTAACATTCAGCCTGACCACTGGCTGGACCAGGAGCCACTGGAATTCGAGTAACTAGTGTTAGTATTTATCAGTGTTTATGATGTGCCAGGCACTGTGGGAGGAGCTGGGTCACCTGCCCCAGCCTTCACAGCTCACTTGTTATTAGGTGACACTAGGATCACTCCTGTTTTATAGATGACGAAATTGAACCCCCAGGCAATTGCAGATTTACCCACAGTCACCTGTCTAGCAAGCGGCAAACACTGGGTGGGGGCTCATAGTCTGGCTGGAGCTGGCACCTGGACCATGAGAAGGGCACTCGCTTCTTCAAGTGTGGGGAAAGACAAGGACTTCTGTGTGTACCCTCTAAGTGCCCAGGAGACGGGTAGGCCTCACACCACAGCCTCAAGTCAAAGCCCAGGCCCTGGGCTTGCTCACGCCATGAGTCAGGCCCATCAGACCTGCCGCCCACGGGGGCCCAGAGCCTCCCTTCCTGCGTCGGCGGGCTTCTCCATCACAGACTCAGCTCCGGCCAATGGGTGCCTTCTTTCCTCTGCTTTGGGGCCACCAAACCCAACGAGCACAGGCAAAGGCTCTGCCACAGCTAGTGTGGAGGCGAGCCTGGTGAGTGCCCTGGCAAGGCTGACGGGCAGTTCTCTGCCAGACCAGAACCTTCTCAGCCTGGAGTTCTTGATTCTCCATGAGAGCTGTCTTAACACTGATCTCCTTGAGCTAACCTAAACATGAAATTGGTGGTAACATTCTAAAGCCTTCTCTTTTTCCACACTCAAAGGTTTTTTGACTTCAGTCCTGAAAATAAAAATGAGGCATGATACAGTAGTGGTGGATACATGACCTCATGCATTTTTTAAAACCCCAAACCCACAGAATGTACAACACTGGAACCCTAACTCCGGACTTGAGTTAATAATAACTTGTCAATGTTGGTTCATCAATTGTAACAAATGCAGCACACGAATGCAAGATGCTAATAATCCAGGAAACGTGTGCAGGGAGAGATGGGAGTCCATGAAAACTCTGTACTTTCTGTGTAATTTTCCTGTAAACCTAAAACTGCTCTAAAAAATAAAGTCTATTAAAAATAGTAAATTAAAAAGAAAAAAACCTCCCTCTTCCTCGGAAGGTGAGGTGCAGCAGTGTGGTGGGTTGAGTGGCTGGAGGGGTCTGAGTGCCGAGGATGGACATCCCCGCATGGCCCTGGCAGCTTCTCGAGATCTGGAATATGGAGATGCCAGAGCCACTCGGCTCTGTGGGCTGCGTAGAGGGTCACTCAGGAATGAGAGCCGCAAAATACTCTGTGCCTCCGACACAGATCCCGTATGCAAGCACACAGAATAACCGCCTGCATGGGGTCAGCCCAGCACTCTCTCCCACCGTCAGTCTACCCGGGGACTCACACTGCTGAGCTGCTCAGAAGGCACAGGGTTGATGGGAGAGCATCTGGGGAGGGGACTGCCTAGCTGGGTCACCCCTGCAGTGCCACGTAGCCGTGCACTTAGTAATTGGTGGATAAATACCCTGTGATTGGTTGCCTGATTACGTAAATTGGCTGAAGAAGGTTTGTTTGTTTGTCTGCGGTGAGATTTCATTTCAATGAACCCACACCTGAGCCTTGCTCCTTCCCTTCCCCTCTTCACAGTGCTGGGCAGGTGGCAGCAAAATTCAAAAAACAGACAAGGAGCCAGGTGTGGGCAGTTTCAGCAAGCTCCAGGGGATGGTTCTGGTTTGTGTATTGTGCTGGTTTGTCCATTGTGACCTCTCCTGGTGACACCTCCTCTGTGCCTTTCTGTGACATTTATGACTGGGTTGGGCCCAGGCCCTGGGCTTGAGGTAACCTGCTGGGACAGAGGCTGGGAAGATCCCGCTGGAGAGGGGATTCTTCTTTGCCCAAATGGCACTCATTTGCAGGGACCGAATCAGGGGCCTGGGGACAGACTTTTCTAAGACAGTGTTCTACCACTGCGAGGTGGAGACTTTGAGAACAGACACTCACAGACGCCCTGCTAAAGGACAGCAGCTCCAGACACCTCTCGGGCAGACACTGGGTGAAGCTGGGCGCCGACCTTACCCCTGCACATGTCTTGACAATCTGTGGGGGCGGGGAGAGCCCTTACTTCACAGATGAGGAAACTGAGGCAGAGGTAAGTTGCCTGAGCCCTCCAGGCTGGCAGGGTGGACCTGGGACAGGTGCTCCAGCAGGCTGCCTCCAGCATTCACGCCTCGATCATCCCACGGAACTGACCCCGGCCCCAAACCTTCTTTATCTCGTCAAGTTCACCTCAGCTTTGATCGGCAATACACAAACGTCCAAACTCACTTGGATTGACTGCTTTGAGACTCATCTGTCTCCCTTTCACAGTTCTGGGAGAGGAGCTCAGGGTGGTGGGCGAGAAAAGAGAAAAAAGAGGAGTGAGGGCCCATCTCAAGTGTGTCCATCTGCGGGGCCAACAGTGGGCTGGTCCTGGCAGCTCCGAGGCTCTTAGAAAGAGGGATGCCCCAAGGGGGTGACTTAGGACACAGCTGCCCCTCACTTGAGAGAGAAACAAACTGGGGTCCAGAGAGTAACCAGCAGCTTGCCCAGGGTGCCCTGGAGCTAGGACCAGGCACAATTCTCCTTGATTAGAGCCCACTGCTCTCCCTACACCCTACCGGCCCTTCACAGAGCCGAGGGACTCCAGCGGGCAGCTGGGAAGGCGGGGCAGGGGTGAGGAGAGTGAGGCTCTTGCGCTGGGTGCGAAATTGAAAGAGGTACCCCCAAAACTCAGGAATAAAATAATACTCAAATGCAACATTTAAAAAATCAGAATTAATGCAAAAAATCCACAATGACCAAAATCTCAAACTTTTCGATAACAGCAGGATCAAGAACAGTGGTGACAAGACATGCTGGAGCCTGGGGCCACAGGAAAAAGCAGTCAGAGCGACCCTGTCTTTACTTACCATTGTGGTATTTTGTTCAGCATGGATTGCTCGCATTAATTTTGATATTTTTAAAAACTTTTTTTTTTTTGTGAGGAAGATCAGCCCTAACATCCATGCCCATCTTCCTCCACTTTATGTGGGATGCCGCCACAGCATGGCCTGACAAGTGGTGCATCAGTGCGCGCCCGGGATCCCAACCCGGGCTGCCAGCAGCGGAGCACGAGCACTTAACGGCTAAGCCACGGGGCTGGCCCCAATTTTGATATTTTTAAATGTTGCCTTAAAATATTAGTTACCCTGACGACTGAGTGTTTTGGGGTCCCCTTAAATTTTGCGCCTGGAGCCAGTGCCTCATCTGCCTGACCCTATTCCCGGCCCTGCTCCATGGGAGCTGCCCTCTCTTTTGAGACGGTGGCAGAGCCAGCAGTTCTGACTCAGAGCTCTCTGTCAGCAAGGCCACTGTCTCCACACAGAGAAACACAAGTGCAAAGGGAAACAGGACAAGAGGAAGGGGATAAAGTCTTGTCACTGCAAACTTGAATTGTTAGTTTGAAAATGGAGAATTAGCTTCTCTTATCAGGCTGAGAGATTACAAAATAATACTGCTTGGAGCTGTCTTTCAATATGACCTAATTTCTCAAAAAAGGGGACACATTTGGAAACAATTAAAAAGGAAGCTAGGTAAAGGCAGATGAGACTTGTGCTAAGCAAAAAAAAGCGCCATCACCTTCTGTGCCCTTATAGGTTGTTTCTGTGCGAAAAGTCACGTGTCTGCAGCAGGATACACGCCATATTTAGACATAACAATTGCACAACACTTTGCTGTTTACAAAGTCCATTGTCTGAGCCTCACTTTTGAGCTGTGAGGTCATGAAGACAGGCCCACTCCCCAGCCCCCTGGACAGAAGGTTGAAGTCAGCTTCCAGGAGGTTGACTGACGGGCCAGGGCCCGGGAGCAACAGGCAGGGCAGGACCAGTCAGCTCTCCTGCTGGAAACCCCTCTTCCCAGCTCAACACTCAGCACACGGCCGTGTACGAAATGAGGAAGATGCGTAAAACAAAACCCAAAACACGATCAGGGATAAACACTGAACAGCAAAATCCAAGACCACACTTCCCAGTGTCTGTCTATCCGTTTGTCTTCCTGCCCATCCATACATCTGTCTGTCCGTCTGTCTGTCCGTCTGTCTATCTATCTATCTATCTATCTATCTATCTATCTATCTATCTATCTATCAGATTCACAATTCACAAGACATTAAATGAAAAATTAACACACGGGGTGATGTCATTAATGTACATTTGCATCTTTTGTTTCGAGTTAAGAGAACTGGTTTGCTACTATGGGGACTGTACCAGCTGGTTAAATCTGTCTTAGCTGTTGCCATTGCTAAGTTCATGGAGGTAATTCATCCCAAAGAGGAGGAGCAGGATGAACACCAGCTGAGACCCGTGCTTACAGTGACCCAGCAGACACCAAAGGGCTGTTGGAGGCAGAGCTGGTGTCCCTCAAGGAAGTCCCCACAACCGTTTAACTGATGTTGTGATGGTGGCTCAGAAGAGGGATATTTCCCACTCCAGTTAGATGCTCCAGCTCTCAGACGCCTATAAAAGGATGGTTTGGGGTTCCATTGCTTTCAAGAAGAAATTGTCATACTGTGGTCTGCTCAGGCCCTGGTCCTCCATGTTACTGAGACAATGGCGTTTCTGTCACCCTTGATTTTAGAGCGCGGCACTCAGTGTTTGAGCTGGAATGAGGCTTCATGAACGTCTAACTCAACCATCTCACCTTATAAATGAGGAATGAGTGTTAGTGAAGGGGCATTGCAGTGGAAACCAGGTTTCCTTGGACCTCCATTTTTGGCACAGTGCCCTAATTGATGCAAGAGTTCTAAATCTTTGGGATACTTATCCCAAAATATAACATTATGTTTCCCAGTTCTCTACCACATGACAAGAAGACCAAAGGGACCTCCCCACACTCACATTGAACTCTTCGCGGAACCTCTTGCAGTCATCTGCTGAACGGACACGGATCTCCTCCTCCAGGTGCCCCACGGGGATGGGAAAGTACTTCTTGGGCCCGGAGGGGGACCTGCTGAGAAGCATCACTCTTTGCTGCTCTGTAGGATCAAAAGAAACACGGGGGCCATTTAGCCATATTCCAGGATAGGTGATTCATATAACCGGACTGATTGACAACATTTCTGGAGAAAGGACACAGCTGGAGGGGACGACATTCCTCTCAGATCATGTAGCCCGGGGCCAAGTGGGGCCCTGAGCAACCAAATGCCAAGGTCGGTTTCCCAAAACACACTCATGTCATGGTAAGCGATGGGCGTCGCTCTGGCGGTGTTACCTGCTCTCGCCAAACATAGATGCCTCATCTTCCCAGCTCACTCACCCACCCACCCACCTTTCCTTCCCTTCCCTCCAGCCCCTCCTCCTTCCATAAGGGATTTAGGCAGCTTCACACTCCAGCTTTGGAAAGAGAGAAGAGTAATTATACACTTCTGGGTGCAAGTTGAGAACACCGGGAATCGGTCAGGATATGAGTCTCCCTCAGTCTTGTCTTCTTTGTAACAAATAGTCCTGGTTACTCAAACCCCATAAGCTCCAAGAGAAATAAGTAAAACTATCCTTGTTTTTTTTGGTGGGGGGGTGGGGGGCCAGGGAGGCATTGAAAATGAGAAGGGCGGGCTACAAGCAAGTTCTGGGACAAACTGCTTCCACAAATTCAGAGCGAGACAAAAAAAGAAATCACTGGCATGTGCTTCTCTTCCCGGGGAATGAGCCGATATTCTTGAAAAGGTCAACATGATAACTTTGCTGTCACACTGGCAAAAGGGCCTGTCCCCACCTGCAGAGCTGTTCTGAAGCCCAGGGGCTCACTCCTTCAAGAGACAGACGCATCAGAATGAGCGTGGCTGGGCCTCACCAGCCACACCCTCTTCCCTCCCATTCAGGCTGTTGAAACGTGCAGGGCAGGGCGGGGGAGGGCAGGAAGGTGGCACTGGAGGCCACATGATCATCCAACAAGGGTCGCCAGTCCCCTAAGCTCTGCAAAACGGTTGTCCTGCGGCTCGACAGCCTCAGTCCTGTGCTGCTGATACTCATTTTATTTGTTCAGGGTCGGTTTTGCAATTCTGTTTGAAATCTGACAGCACCTTTATTCCCCCAAACCACGGCACGACCAGGTAGCAAGCCAACTAGAGGAAGCTGTAGTCACTGGTGTGAACCAATATGTTTAAAAGCCTCTGCCTCACACACCTTTCTCAGCCATCTCGACACGTGGAGAGAAAACCAGTGCCTTTATAAGCAGCATAACTGAACTTAGAACCTAAAATGCCCCCAACTGACTCAGATCCTCCCTAAATATTGAATATGTGAGTAGACCAGTTCTCCTCTCAGCTCGATCCTAAAACACTGCAGATTTCGGGGGGCCCTTTAGAGCACCGAGGTTATGAACCAGACTGTCTCACCTTCGAGTGATTTTAAAGACGTACTAAAAAATGTTATGTGAAAACCCTGTAAAAACGACAGGATATGAACAGTGTCTCCAAAAAAGCCACAAACTGAAAGGTCTCAGCATCTGTTTCACACCAGAGAGCAAATGAGAAAAGTTTTGAAATGGTGACATTCTCCAGTTATAAATGACAGCATCGCACCAGGTAAAGCAAGATGGAAGCCCCAATGCTGAACGAGCTGAACACTGAAACGTTAGAGGAGGACAGCTCGGTGTGAGTTAGGAAAGAGCACAGCCTCCCAGCCCCCGGCCCCGAGGCTTCTGTACCTTGTTCTTCCAGGATCCCGTTGGGCATCTTCTTGTCGTTGGCGCTGACCACTGCTTTCCTCTGCTTCCTGAACCTTAGAGACACGGACTTGTTAGGCTTCAGCACAGGAAGGTTTCCAAGAGCCCAGAGCCCCTGAACAGTGATACCCACCAGGTGAGCCGGGAGAAGCTACCCCTGTTGCTCATGGCTGAGCCGTGCCGGCCGCCTGCCTCCCTCAGCCCTGCCGCCCGCCCGCCCGTCCTCTGCCGCCCCAGCCCACACCCTGAAGTCACAGCCTCGTGGGTGCTCATTTCCTCATTCGAGCTGGTTGGGGCAAGTCAGCGGGCGGACACTCCTACCTGAAGAAGTAGGCGGCTAGGAGCAGAAACAGCAGGGAGAGCAGCAGAGGCAGCAGCAGCCAGGCCAGCTGGGGCTGGGCCGCCCGCGGGTCCGGAGGGCCTGGGGGGCAGAACCGGATCCCCGTCAGGACACGAGGCACGAGGCAAGGACTTGATGGCGGGCGGGGAAAGTGGGTTCTGGGCAAGGAAAGATTCCCAACACCAGTCTGTGCTTTACAGTTTGCAAATGAGTTCCCCTTTCATCCCATCAGCCCTTCTTCTTGGACATTAGAACCCCACTTTACAGTTTTCAAATTAGTCCCCCCCTCTATCCCATTAGCCCTTCTTCCTGGACACCAACAGCTCACTTTACAGTTTACAAAGTAGTCTTCCCTCCATCAGTCCTTCTTCCCCCATGCCAAAGCCACACTTTACAGTTGCAAAGTAGTCCGTTCCTTCTCCCCTGACACCAGAACTGAACTTTACAGTTTATAAAGCCCCTCCTTCATCAGCCTTTCTTCCTGGGCACTAGCACCCCAGTTTACAGTGTGTAAAGCAGTCCACTGTCCTGGTCCATTGTACCGACAAGGGCCCCGCCACTTAACAAACGAGCAGTGTTGACACCGAGAAGGAAACCGGGCTGAGGAGCCAGGGACCTGACTTGTCCAAGGTCCCCTGGCGAGGGGCAGTGAAGGCACCACAGGGAGCCCCCCAGACACTTGTGTGGCCTGTTTCCCTGGTTCCCAGGGTGCCTGCCTCTCCCCCTAATGGGGAGGTGGAGGAGGGTGAAGATGCAGACACCCCACTGCTCTGTCCAGGACAGCGGGGAGCTCCCAGGGCCTCCGGCTGGGGAGAGGCCTGTGGCCACACCACGACCCGGCCTCCCAGACCCGCAAGCTCCTGACGCCGCCTGCCCAGAGGAAGGCTGGTCACCAGGCGCCACCCTCGCTCTTCCTCCATCTGTCTTCACCCTCCAGGTTGACCTTCCTCACCCACAGGGTCCCACATTCCTGGATCCAGTGCAGCTCCCTTGCAGCTGCCGAGGACCTGCCCCGTAAGCCCAAATTCTGAGGGGCTCTGGTGGCCTGGCTGCCACTCTCACACCCCACTCCCTCCCCCCACATTCTGACTTAGCTCCTGCCTCTCCAGACTGCCATGCTGCCCCCTCCTCACCAAAATGTCCCCACTCCCCAAGGAGCACCTCAAAGGCCCCTTCCTCCAGGAAGACCACTCGGCTCCCCTTATGTGGATCCCAGAGGGGCTCTGTATGCGAAGCACAGACCCACTCCCCTGAAGTGAACAGGCCCCATGAGCGACTGCCTTCGCTCGGGTTCAGTGGAAGCCCCTTGAAGGCAACAACTTGGCTTCCATTGCTTTGAGTTCACAAAAACACCAAGCTGGGCCCCTGAGCCCAGTGGGGGCTCCGCAGCCCTGCAGTCTCCCTCGCACACCTCCCCCACCCGTGTATTCTCAAGGTCGTAACCTGCATCTCATCCCCTAGGTTGTAAGCTCCCTGGGAGCAGGTCATTCGTCTACCTCCCTGGCCTCACGTTGACTCTGGCACCCAGTAAGGGCTCAATGCATGTATTTCTAATAAATGATTTGAGTCACTCGAGTGACTACTAGATGTAGAAGTGCACTGATGGACAGTTGGTCTGTGATGAGGAGGTGGCCCTGCCATGGTAACCTAGTGAACCTACGAAAGACCTTCGTTCCAGGCTGCACCAATGCCTCCCCCATCTGGCTAGTGATGCTCACAGGCCAAAGTGCAGGGCAAGGCCAGGGTGGCACCAGGCTGAACCGCTAAGAGCATCTGCCCCAGTCCTTCCGTTTGGGCCCCACCTGCTGCAGAGCTCTCCCAGGAGCCGACCCGGCCTGAGGCTTCCACACCTGCAGCTCCACGGAGCACCCCTCCCCACTCAGCCAGGCCCTTGGAGCAAACTCAAGCCCAGGCTGATGGGGGAGATGCCTGACACCAAGGGGCAGAGCTGGGCCCAGCCCTAGAGAGGGCCTGGGTGCTCCACAGCCCCGGGGACCGGCTCCATCCCTGCCTGGCCAAGTGCAGCCACAGACCGTGGGTGGGTGCCCTTCTCCTCTCCCGGGGCGTCGCCCTGTGGAGCTCCCCACTTCTGCATTTGCACAGAGGTCAGGCTGCCTGGCTCAGCTTCTACCTTGGCAGTGACAGACTGGCCAGGTCACGGGTCCAAGGGCTGGGTGGACCTGGCTGGAGCTTTGGTGGGGGACCTGGACCACAGACAGCCCATCCCTGGGGGCCTTGTCAGAGGGCTTCAGGGTCCAGCCTCCATGCTCACGCTGCCTGGAGTAAAGGCTGCAGTTACAACGTGGACAATTCCATAGCACACCCTGGAGGATCGGGGCTGAATGACCCAAGGACCAGAGAGAGGGGTGTGCACATGGGCAGAAGTGACAGATCACAGGGGCAAATGGGCTCCCCTGCTGGGTGTTTCTGCCATTTGTCAGCAGCTGCCTCTCTTCTGGAGGGCAGAGGTCAGCTGGGAACAGCTGGGAGCTGGCAGGCCTCGTGGGGGCCTGAGGAAGTGGGGAGTCCACGCCCTGTCTACAGGGTGCCTCTTCTTGGCCCCAGCCCGTTGGGGCCAAGCAGAGGGTGGGTCCAGAGTGCCTAGTTCTTCCAATTCTCCAGAAGAAGAAATTTGTATTTTTATGTAAAAACTATCTGATTTTTAAATACTGGTAAGTAATTCAACCTAAATACAATTTTGAAAAACGCTATGGGCCAGAAAGAACCCCTGCAGGCTGGGCTGTGTGCCCTGGGCACTGATGTGTTCTGGACAAGGGTCAGGGTGACAACTAAGAAGAAATTGTGGGGTCACTTTCTATTTCCATAGCATGTGCATGTGGCTCAGACTGGGCAGGGCAGAGGGAGCCTCTCCCAGTGGTAAGTACCCAGACCGTCAACTTTGAGCAGCCTTCTCCCCCAATTCTACCCAGCTGACGCTCCAAGTCAAATGTGTATGGATATTTGTGCAAACTGTGTGCACACGCACACCTAAGAAGTGTGTATGGGTGTGCACGTTTGCTCATATAGAATCTGGTCCCGGAAATGGAAACTCATAGGCTTGAGTGTGAGTTCTGACCTTAAGCCAGGCATCTGCACACCTAAATCTGGGCAGATGCCTGCGGTGCTGGAAGGCCCTGCGAAGCTGGTAGGGGCAGCCGGCGGGTGGGGAAGGCCCCTTGGTTCCTGCCTTCGCCCTGGAGAGCTCCACATGAGGCCCTGCTGAGTGACCCCCTCTGGGGTTCCCCCTTTGTAGTAAGGGCACTAGACAATGTCCATCCAACAGGGACACGCTCTGCCCTTGGGGCAGGGGTGGGAGTGGAGAGAAGGAAAGAAGATGGGGGATGCAGAGAGAGCAGCTGTGTCCTGGGGGAGCTCCCTGTGGTCCCTGGAGGACCCTGCTGCTCACGGGCAGAGGGCACTGGACCAGGGGGCCTATCTCTGTGTGCTCCTGCCCTCTACCTCCCCTCTACCTCATACATTGTGCTGGGTTCTAGTCTATTCAAGCAATACAGGGATCCAGGCCTGCTGCAACCTGTTCAACCAAACACAAAATAAAGAGTCCAGGTGCACGAGCCATCTCGTTCTCTTTCCCAGAGTATGCAGGGTTAAACATGGGAATGGTCTTCCCTGGCGTTTTTCTACACACTTACATTCATAAATCGACAGGCTGGGTAAATAACTGGAATTCCACTACTCTCTCACCGCATCTCAGCCTCCATGGAGTGATGTGCCCATCACAGTGAGATGTGCTGTTATGTTATGAACCACTAACAAAGAAAAGAGCGATGCTAATTGTAATTGTGACACACCATCAATTTTAAGGCACCCAACAATATAGCAACGTTAAATCTGAAAAAAACAAACAAACAAAAACACATGAAATACGCTATCTGGGCAGCTCCGTGACTTGCCTTTCTCCTCCGGTCGCCCATTTTGGAGAGTTTCCCCAGCAGCACACGGGAGCCTCTTCATTTTGTTTAACGGCTGCTTGGACTTTCACTTTTTGGATAAACCAAGATTTGGATGGACATTTAGGTTGTTTGCAACGTTTTTGCTATTGCCTACGATTTCGCATTTTGTGTGTCTCTCCCTCTCTCAGTTTATCTCGCAGGTGTTGCTGTAGGACAGCTCTTGGAAGTGGACCTTCTGCATCAGTGTGCACACATACGAAACTGCCGTGGAAACTGCCAAAACACCACCTCCAAGTTCGCAGCTTCCACTCTCACCTCGAGGGTGCAACAGAGCCTATTTCTCCTGGATAGCAGCAATCCTTGTAATGTTTGTCGGTCTGATAAGTAAAATAATACCATTTCAACTTGCATTTCCCTAATTTCTAGAGAGTGAAGCATCTTTTCATGATTAACGGAACATAATTAATTAGATATTTGTATTTTGCCTGGTCATATTCTTTACTATTTTCCTACTGTGTGGTCTTTTTCTAATTAATTTTCAGGATTCTTCGTATAACACGGACAATAACATTTTGTTATACAATTTGTCAATATTTACCTTCAACTCCTTGTCTAAAAGAATGCCTATTGATGATTCTTTAATACACTTTGTTCAATGAGCAAATGAAACGATTTCCAGTTATTTTGGCATACTGCGGCAAGGTGCTGTTATCACAAATGATACTTCACCCTCCTTTTAGGGAACAGACGAAATTTCAAAGGGCACTTTACACAGGGTTAGGTTCCCCTCCAGAATTCTAGGCCTAAGGAGCCCTAACTGAGGCCTTGAAGTGGAGCCGGCCTGTATTTCCCTCTCTGACGTGTGACCAGCCGCTGCTGCCAAGCCGGTGAAGGCCACCCCCAGAAGCCACAAAGAGGTGTGAATTTCACATTCGTTCTGGTGGGCTCGAGACCTCACAACAGCCCCTCTTTCTGAAAGGAGCACCTGACACCCACAGCAATGTTATTAACCAATCATTTTATATTCAAGGCAACTGCAGAGGCCGAGGGGTGGAGAGCGAGCCACCCCGATGGTGCCCACCGTGCCGTCTGCGGAGCATCCACATAGCTCCGGTGTCTCTTCCCTACTTTGGGGCAAACGATGCTCTGCCCGGTTGAATTTTTTTGCTAAGTGTTCTTGCAGGTGTTGGGCATCGGGCCAGCAGAGGCCAGCTCCTCTCTGCCCGGCACAGGGACGCACTGTCCTCAGGGCAGGTCTGGAGGCTCCCAGGTCGCACTACACTGCAATGACCCGACACCCCAGAGGACCAGCTGGGAAGGAGGCAGCATGACAATGCGGTTTCTGTTTGCTAGGGGCTCCTGTCTTTCTTTTGTTGTGGTTTCTGGATTTCTCCAGGTTTCAATGCGAGGAGATGTTGCTCATTGCAAAAGATGGGCAGGCACCTGGAACTCCTCCCCTAGCTGGAGGGCTTGCGTCAGCGACAGAGCCTCACTTCTCCCTCCTCGTGGGGCCAAGTGTGCATCTGTAGGACTCTGTCCAGGGTTAGGAAATCGTGTGAAGTCCTTGAGCTGGGTGGGCATTGAACCGCTGACCCTGGCCCAAACAGTACCAACTCTAATCACCTCGTCAACTTTTTTCCTGGAGGGAAGTTGATAATTTTTGTTTTCCCGAAGTCTTATGATGACCAAGTGTGATGCTTAATCTTATGTGTCAACTTGACTGGGCCACGGGGTGCCCAGATATTTGATCAAACATTATTCTGGATGTTTCTATGAGAGTGCTTTTTGGATGAGATTCGACATTTTTTTTTCTTTTTTTTTGTGAGGAAGATCAGCCCCGAGCTAACATCCATGCTAATCCTCCTCTTTTTGCTGAGGAAGACCGGCCCTGAGCTAATATCTATTGCCAATCCTCCTCCTTTCTTTTTCCCCAACGCCCCAGTAGATAGTTGTATGTCATAGTCGCACATCCTTCTAGTTGCTGTACCTGGGATGCGGCCTCAGCATGGCCAGAGAAGCGGTGCATCAGTGCGTGCCCAGGATCCAAACCCGGGCTGCCAGTAGCGGAGTGTGCGCACTTAACCGCTAAGCCACGGGGCTGGCCCTGAGATTCAACATTTAAATCAATGGTCTGAGAAAAGCAGATTGCTCTCCCACTGTGGGTGGGCCTCATCCAATCAGCTGATGGCCTGAATACAACAAAAAGGCTGAGCCTCCTGTAAGTGGGAATTCTTCGTGCTTGATTGCCTTCCAACTGGGACACTGTTCTTCCTGGTTCTACAGTAGCCTGCCAGCCTTCCCACTCAAACTGCGACACTGGCCCAGCAGATTTTGGACTTGCCAGCCTACACAATTGTGTGAGCCAATTCCTCTTAATAAATATAAATATAAATACAGATATAAATATAAGTATATATCTCATTGATTCTGTTTCTCTGGAGAACCCTGACCAATATACCAAGTGATCAGAGAAGTTCCTGGGTTTTACGTTTGGGTGTCTTAGGGGATGGAGGGGAAGGGGATGGAGCAGGTGTGTGGGGACTGGCAACAGGCTCCAGTGCAGAGTGAGGGGACTGGCCCTTGCTGGTTGCAGGCTCCTGTTAACCCTGCCAAGAAAAAGAGCCGGCAGCCACAGACAGGCTGGAAGTCTACCAGGGAGGCATCGAGGTTGCCCAGGAAACATATATCAGCTCCTCGGGGACCCTGAACTCACCTGGTTGGGCCTCTCTCTGTGTTGGGCACCTGTCCATGAAGGAGATACCAATGGGGACTGAAGAGCCAACTCTCTGTGCAGTAAGAGATTGGCTGGTGACACACTCTCCTGCTAACAACAGTAACGACCAACACTGATGAGCCTTCTACGCCCCAGCGTGATTATCTCCTTTAATCCTCACAGCACTGCCAAAAAGTAGGTACTATTATCACCTCCATATACAAATGGGGACATTGAGGCACAAAGGGGTTCAGTAACTTACTCAAGGTCACTCAGCATTAACTGGTGGAGCTAGAATTGAAGACAGGTGGTGCCAATCAAGAGCACTGGTGCTCTCGTCTCTTCGCCTCCCTCTCTTCCTCCTCTTTCCTTCAACTTGGCATAGTATTTCTTTTATTGGAGTAAAATTTGCATAGTATAAAACACACCCATTTCAAGCATGCAATTCAATGATTTTTAGTAAATTCACAGAGTTGTGCAACCATTACCACAATCCAATTTCAGAACATTTCCATCAACCCAGTAAGATCCCTCCAGCCTATCTGTGGTCCCTTCCTGCCCACCCCCAGCCCCAGTCAACCGCTAATATACTTCTTCCCCTCGTCGATTTGCCTATTCCGGGAATTTCATATAAATGGAACCATATGACAGGTGGTCTTTTGTGTCTAGCTTCTTTCACTTGGCATGTTTTGGAGGTCCATCCATGTTGTCACATGTATCAATGGATTCTTTATCCTGTTTGCCTGTCTAACTTTCAAACGTAAAAGGTGAGAGAACAGAATAATGAACCCCATGTATCTGCCACCTCACTTTCGTACCAGGACAAGGCCGACTGTGCTCATCTAGAGCCCCCCACCTCCTGTCCCGCCACCTACTCTTTTCCAAGTCACTCCCAGACATCATATTGTTTCATGTGTAAATACTTCAACATGCATCTCTAAAAGGTAAGGACTCTTAGTTTTTTAAATAAACCTAACTACTATACCAATATCTCACCTAAAAATATTAACAATAATTTCTTAATCTCATTAACTGTCACGTCAGTGTTTCAGTGTCCCCAATTGACTCATGACTTTGTTCAGGGTTGGTGTGAATAGACTCTGCACAATGGGGTCCGGATGGTTAACCCTCTGCTCTCCCACCTCCCACTGAAGCTGACACCACCTCTCAGCACAGGGGCTGTCTCTGCTGCCTCCAGAATGCTCAGTTTTGCTCTGGTCAAACACACAACAACGGGCTTCTCTAGCCAGCCTGTTTTTCTAGGTGTGAAATATTAAAAGCACACTAAGCAAGCCAACCACATCGTCCTTCTCCCTCCTCAGCTGCTTTTTCACCCTGGACGGTTCTGAGAACTTGTTAGAAGGGGCAGGAGGGTGGGGGGCAGTGAGGGCAGGGGAGGAGAGGCAGCAGCCTTACCTGGGGTCGTGGAGGTCCAGTTGCTCTCGGCTGGCGTGGTCCCGTTGTCCTTGAGAGCCTTGGCGAGCGGCAAGCTAAAACCCGCCAGCAGGAGCGGACAGAAGGGCGCCATGGCGAACCTGGAAGAGGCAGGGACAGGCTGAGGGGACTCGCCCCCCACACGCCTGGGCTGGCCCTCCACCGAGGCGGGGGACCCCACAGAAGTCACAGGGTGGGTGGGGATGGGGGTGACGGTGGGGGCTCTGGGAGCGTTGTCGGGTCGGTCTGAGTTAGGGAGGGGGGCCTTTGCACCACAGCTGGCACAATTTGTACCTGCACGTGGAAAATAATTTCACCTTAGAACAAAGCCAGGTGAGTAACTCCACCAACCAGCCTCAGGTTATACAGGCTCCCACTATTCAGGTTAATTTCCCTTTTTGTCTGTTTTGGTGGGGAGAGGGGAAGTGAACAAGAACTTGGAGGTGCCTGGGGAGGATAAACTCTGAAAACACCGCAAGATCTAGGACTCTGAGAGGCAGCTGCACAGACCCTCACAGAGGCCTGTTCGCCAGTACTTCAGGATTGCCACCTCATAATAACTGGTAGAACAGTCCATGGTGCCTATGGTGACTGGGTGTGTTTCTATTTTGCATCACGACAGCCCGGAGAATTATCAGTACCTTCGGGAAGAATTGCAAGCTCAGAAAGGAGTCAGGTTAATTAGCCTGTGGTCACAGTGCTAGGGGACTGGAAGCAGCATCCACCCCCTCTGCACAGGGTCCACCTCTGCCGTCTCCCTGGCCACAACCACAACCCACACCCCCAGCCTTTATTCCAAGTGCAGGCCTTGACTGCCTCCCACCTGGGCTATGGGAAGAGGTCCCCAACTGTCTCCAGCCCCAGGCCCTCTATGTTTCCCACGCTCTGGAGCCCAATTAATTGTTTTAAAGCCCAGCTCAATCCTTTGACCCCTGACATGTTAACAGTGACAACAGGGCTGAGAAGAGCAAATCTAATGTCAATGCTGCTCTGAGCCAACACCTTGCCTGTTGCCTTCACGGATCATCTCGTTTGACCTTCACAGCTCCAGGCTGATGGCCCTGCATCTGATTCTGCTCTTGTCTGAACCCTCAGGTGAAGCAGAGGGAAGCTCCCTCCTCGAGGAGGAGGCCCCGGTCAGCTCGTCTCTGAGAGAGCTGCTTGGGCACCTCGGGAATGGAGGTAAGTATTTATCGGGCGGTTGGGTGGATGTGCTGGGCAAACCCAAATTGTGATGCAGCTCAACACAGAAGACTCTTTCACCCAGGAGACCTCAGATCCCCACCTGGGACTCTGTTTTGCCAAAACACCTTAGATTCTCAGGAAATGTCACAGTGACCGCTTGGTGGTGCCCTCTTAGAGGACTTACTGAAGGTAGGCGTGGGCAGTGGCACCTGCCGAGTGCAGATCAGGTGGTGATGGTACAGACATGCAGTCAAGGTGTGGGGTCCCTCTCTCCTGCATGACCCCTCCATTTCCCATCCACTGAACCCTGTCCATGGTCAGCCTAGGATGCCCCATCCTCACAGAGAGCACTTTCCTGCAAAAAACCTCCCTCATGGATATGAATGGACTGAGGCCAAGAAACACTGGTTCCTTGTAATTAGAGAAGACACTGAATGAGAGCAAAAAATCCTAATCATTTTTCAGCCATTACCACAATTAAAATGAAACCATTAGGAGCACATTATAATAATTAGCCCAGAACAACTCCGATAACCACAATTAATGCTTCCACTTCTTTCGTCTTTCTATTTCTAAAATATACATTTTAGATTTATAAAGTGAGCCACACACAAGAAATAGCTCTTGTTCCATGAGCCCCTACTATGTGCTAGGCCCTTGATGTGGGCATTATCCTCACAATAATCTCTCAAGGACTGAGAAACTGAGGATCCATGAGGATAAAGAACTGGTTCAAAGGCAGTTCAGAGAAAATGGAGGGGCTGCAATTCGAACCCAGGACCACTGGAGACAAAAGCTCTCAACCCCTGACAAGCAGCTCTGCATACACTGCATTAAAAAAATTCTGGGGGCCAGCCCCCGCCGTAGTGGTTAAGTTCAGCATGCTCCACTTTGGTGGCCCGGTTCGTGGGTTCAGATCCTGGGCGTGGACTTACACCACTCGTCAGCCATGCTGTGGCGGTGACCCACATACAAAATAGATGTTAGCACAGGGCTAATCTTCCTCAAGCAAAAAAAGGAGGAAGATTGGCAGCGGATGTTAGCTCAGGGCAGGCCTTCCTCAGCAAAAACAAAACAAAACAAAACAACTCTGTTATGGAAGACTGCTACAAAGCTTTTAATATATTAGAGTAAATGGCAGAGTAATTGACTAGGAAGTATTAATTGGTTTAATACAACTCCAGAGGTTCAGAATTCCTAGTTTAAATATTTTTTCTCATCACATGCATTAATTCAAAAATCCTCCTCTCCAAATGCTCAATGAACTAAGAGGAGACTGACGCCCTTGAGCCAGACAAAGATCATCTCATCAAGCCTCAGACACCATCAGGCCTGTAAGTGCCTCCAGGAGCAGCAGGTGATCTACCCGGTATGACCAGCAGAGGGCACTACACTTTTCAGAATTCAAACCCATCCCACCATCTTGAGTCTCCTTTATTGCAGCACTTACATTGCAAAGCCAATGACAATGCGCCAGCCCCTGGCCATTCACCCTCAAAGGACTTGCACAAGCTATCTGATAAGCACAGATACAATGCTTGAGATAGTAATTAAATCCATCTTGAATTTTAACGATTTGCATTTAATCAGCATTTGTTGTGTGCTTACCAAATGCTAAGTACTGTGGGCCATAAAACATGTGTGATCTCCAGAACTGGGATTATCAAGATGGTTTATTTCCAACAAAGCAGCCTTTGTTTTTACTCACACCAAAAGTCAGTCAGCTATCAATTTCATTAGAAGACTTTTATTCCATTTGATCCTTTTTAATCCTCTTCATTGAGCAACTACACTGGGGCAGGCAGCCCACCAGATCCTGGAGATGCAAAGATGAATGCAGTCCCCCGCCCTAAAGCCCCTCCACTGAGCTGGAAAGACAAGTGGGCAAACGGCCACCTAAAGACCCTGGCTCTTGAGCTCTGGAGATGTGTGGCCACAGAGCCAGGGAAGGAAGGTGAGCAACAATGATTCACCCGGGGAGGTCACCAAGGCTTCCCAAAGACGAGGTGCTGAGCAGGCGTCCAGAACAGAAGGGCAGAGGGATGGAGGCCTGAAGGAGGCACAGGCATGACCTATTTTCCAGACAGTGGGCAGTTTGGTCTGCTGGACCTCTGGTATGTGAAGGAAGCAGAAATGAGCAAAGATGGAAAGACTGGGGCTGAACTGAGAAGGCCCTCAAATGCCACGTTAAAAAGTTTGGTGTGGTCTTAAAGTCTCATTTTCCATCAATGGCCTACATTATTAGGACCACTTGGGAGCATTAAAAAATGATGCTGGAGTGACATCAGCATCATGGCAGGGTGAGTTGTTCCCTTAGTCTCTCCCCTCTAGGTTACAACCAAATGGACATTCATTAACTAATAGAGGATTTCCTACAAAGCACAGTAGAACATCTAAGAGACCCATGCAGCCATACATCTGAAGGTGGGGGGACTGGCTCCCAGGGAAGCAATGGAAGGAGGTGAGCACATCCCCTCTCCCTCCACAGTGGCAGAGATCCAGGCCATGGGTCCTCATGCAGCAGCTGGTGTGTGACTGTAAGAGGAGGCGGGGGGGGGGGGTGCGGCACGCAGGCCTACAAGCAAATGCTTTCACTTTCAGACTTGCAACCCAGCCCATGGGAATGCTCCACATTGAGTGGCACAGATCAACCACCACGTGGGTGCTCCCACCAAGCACAGCAGCCCAGGTGAACAGCCCGTGAGCGCAGAGCAGGCCTGCACATGCGAAAGAAAGCGCCCCTCCCCTCTCACCTAGAGCACCAGCTCAGCTGGTCCCCAGCCAAGGCAGCGGTTCCAGACCAGAGCACCTGTGCATGTGTGTGTGACCCACCAAGTGGCTGCAGCCAGCGGGCAAACACAAATGAGCCCTATCGGCACAACTTCCAGCAGACACGGCAGGTTCAGAAAACACAGCTCCTGCCCACCCTCCCCTGCTCCCGAGAGGTGGCAGGTGGAATCTGCGACCTGATACTACTACAAATGCCTCAGCAAAAGATCAGTTCACCAAACACCACGAAAAATGACAGTAACACTTCAGAGCAGAAGGAGAATGACAAGTATCCAGAAACTGATCCTGAAGTCACAGAAATTTACAATCTAAATGACAGAGAATTCAAAGTAGTTGTCATAAAGAAACTCAATGAGTTACAAGAAACCTCAGAAAGACAGTTCAATGAACTCAGGAATAAAATTAATGAGCAGAAGGAATACTTCAACAGAGATTGAAACTCTTAAAAAAAAAAACAGACAGGAATTCTGGAGATGAAGAACAAAATGAATGAGATAATAATAAGCTAGAATTCTTAAAAAATAGAGCTGACATTATGGAGGGTAGAATTAAAGATTTAAAGGACAGAAATATAGAAATACCTCAGGTGGAGGAGGAGAGAGAACTAAGACTTAAAACAAAATGAAGAAATTCTCTGAGAAATATCTGACTCAATTAGGATATGCAACATAAGGACTATAGGTTTTCCAGAGGGAGAAGAGTGGGAAAAAGGAGCAGAGAGCTTGTTCAAAGAAATAATAGCTGAGAATTCCCAAACCTGAGGAAGGAACTGGACTTACAAGTAAATGAAGCCAATAGCACTCCTAATTACATCAATGCTAAAAGACCTTCTCCAAGGCATATAACAGTAAAATTGGCAAAAGTGAATGACAAAGAAAAAATATTAAGAGCAGTAAGGCAGAAGAGAATCATCTATAAAGGAACCTCTATCAGGCTTTCAGTGGATTTCTCAGCAGAAACCTTACAGGCTAGGAGAGCTTGGAATGATATATTCAAAACACTAAAAGATGAAAACTTTCAGCCAAGAATACGCTATCCAGTGAAACTATCCTTCAGATATAATGGAGAAATAAAAGCTTTCTCAGATAAACAAAAGCTGAGGGAGTTCATTGCCACCAGACCTCCC